CAGCGGGGTCAGGGTGGTCAGTGGTCAGCGGGATCAGGGTGGTCAGCGGTGTCAGGGGTCAGCGGGGTCAGCGGTCAATGATCAGCAGGATCAGCGGTCAGCGGGGTCAGTGGTCAGTGGTCAGCGGGGTCAGTGGTCAGTGGTCAGTGGGGTCAGCAGTCGGTGGGGTCAGTGGGGTCAGCGGTCAGCGAGGTTGGACACAGGTGGGGCAGCGGTCAGCAGGGTCAGTGGTCAGTGGGGTCAATGGTCAGTGGGGTCAGCGGGGTCAGGGTGGTCAGCGGGGTCAGTGGTCAGCGGGGTCAGTGTGGTCAGCGGTCAGCGGTCAGTGGGGTCAGTGGGGTCAGTGGTCAACGAGGTTGGACACAGGTGGGTCAGTGGTCAGAGGGGTCAGTGGTCAGCGGGGTCAGGGGGGTCAGTGGTCAGTGGTCAGCGGTCAGTAGGGTCAGTGGTCAGTGGTCAGTGGTCAGCGGGGTCAGTGGTCAGGGAGGTTGTACACAGATGGGGCAGGGGTCAGTGGTCAGCGGTCAGTGGGGTCAGTGGTCAGTGAGGTTCAACACAGGTGGGTCATTGGTCAGCGGGGTCAGTGGTCAGCGGTCTGTGGGGTCAGTGGTCAGTGGTCAGCGAGGTTGGACAGAGGTGGGGCAGCGGTCAGCAGGGTTGGGGTCAGCGGTCATCGAGGTCAGGGGTCAGCGGTCAGCGGGGTCAATGGTCAGTGGTGTCAGTGGTCATCGGGGTCATCGGGGTCAGGGGTCAGTGGTCATCGGGGTCAGGGGTCAGTGGTGTCAGTGGTCATCGGGGTGAGGGGTCAGGGGTCAGCGGTCACTCACAGCACCCTCTGGATGGCCGTGGCCGTGTAGGTGGCGCCGTTGAGCTGCCGGACCGTCCGGAGCAGCCGCGCCGGGTCCGGAACCTTCCGGAAGTCGCTGAAGTCAAAGTGGTGCTTGACGGCGTGGGAGAACTGCGTCAGCGAGAACTGGACACACGGACACCGAGTGACCACCACAGTGGTCACTCCGCACCGATGACCAACCGAGTGGTCACTCTGCACCCCCGCTGACCAGCAGAACGGTCACTCCACACCCCCAATGACCACCACAGCGGTCACTTTGCACCGCCAATGACCACCCACGTGGTCACTCGGCACTGCTGACCAACAGAGTGGTCACTCTGCACCGCCACCGGAATGGTCACTCCACACCACCCCCAATGACCACCCCAGCGGTCACTCCACACCACTGATGACCACCCCAGTGGTCACTCGGCACCTCTGCTGACCAATGGAATGGTCACTCTGCACCGCCACCGCAGCGGTCACTCCGCACCCCCAATGACCACCCCAGCAGTCACTCGGCACCCCTGATGACCACCTGAGTGGTCACTCGGCACCGCCACTGACCAATGGAGTGGTCACTCTGTGCCCCCACTGACCGCCGGAATGGTCACTCTGCACTGCTGCTGACCACTGGAATGGTCACTCCACACTGCCACCAGAGCGGTCACTCTGCACTGCCACTGGAATGGTCACTCTGCACCCCTGCTGACCACCAGAGTGGTCACTCCACACCACTGATGACCATCCGAGTGGTCACTTGGCACCGCCGATGACCACCGGAGCGGTCACTCCACACCGCTGATGACCACTGGAACGGTCACTCCACATCCCGATGACCACTAGAATGGTCACTCCGCACCCCCGCTGACCAGCAGAGCGGTCACTCCACACCCCCAATGACCACTGGAATGGTCACTCTGCACCCCTGCTGACCACCCAAGTGGTCACTCCACACCACCGCTGACCACCCAAGTGGTCACTCTGTGCCCCCGCTGACCGCCTGAGTGGTCACTCCACACCACTGATGACCACTGGAATGGTCACTCCGCATCCTGATGACCACTGGAACGGTCACTCCACACCACCACTGACCACCACAATGGTCACTCTGCACCACCCCTGATGACCAGCAGCGTCTGGTGGTCAGTGGTCAAATTCAATGAGATGAATGACCCAAGATGACCAATGGTCATTCAAGGGTCAATGGTCAATGTCCATGGACATGAATGACCCAAGATGACCACTGGGTGGTCAATGGTCAATGTCCATGGAGCCAAACCACCCAAGATGACCACTGGTCATCGAGGGGTCACCACTCAATGTCCATGGAGCCAATGACCCAAGATGACCACTGGGTGGTCAATGGTCAAGGTCAATGAGATGAATGACCCAAGATGACCAATGGTCATCGAGGGGTCACCACTCAATGTCCATGGAGCCGATGACCCAAGATGACCACTGGTCATTGAGGGGTCACCACTCAATGTCCATGGAGCCAGACCACCCAAGATGACCAATGGTCAATGTCCATGGAGATGAATGACCCAAGATGACCAATGGGTGGTCACTACTCAATGTCCATGGAGCCAGACCACCCAAGATGACCACTGGTCAATGTCCATGGAGCCGATGACCCAAGATGACCAATGGGTGGTCACCACTCAATGTCCATGGAGATGATTGACCCAAGATGACCACTGGATGACCACTGGTCACTCTCCATGGTGCCAATGACCCAAGATGACCACTGGGTGGTCACCACTCAATGTCCATGGACATGAATGACCCAAGATGACCACTGCTCATCGAGAGGTCACCACTCAACCTCACGACACTTGACCAACCCCAGATGACCTCCGGCCACCGGGGATGACCCTTCCAGGCCAGGTGGACGTTACCTGCGCGTCGACGTCGCGGAAGCGCCGCATGACCTCGGCGATGAAGGTCTTCATGGTCCGGAAGTCGTGGTCAGCGATGCTGCCCGAGCCGTCCATCAGGATGGCGATGTCCAGCGCGGTCTTGGGACACTCTGCGGACAGAGTGACCACAGCCCCGAGTGACCACCCAAGGGCCGGGCAGGGAAACGCAAGTTTGGGGTGGACAAAATGTTGGTTTTGGGGTGAAACCACCAGAAAAAAACAATTTTTGGAGTTCTACCTCCTTGATGTCACACACAAAGCCAAGATGACCACTGGATGACCACTGGTCAATGTCCATGGAGATGAATGACCCAAGATGACCAATGGATGACCACTGGTCACTCTCCATGGAGATGGATGACCAATGGGTGGTCAATGGTCACTCTCCATGGACCCAATGACCAATGGATGACCACTGGTCAATGTCCATGGAGATGAATGACTTAAGATGACCACTGGATGACCACTGGTCACTCTCCATGGACCCAATGACCCAAGATGACCACTGGATGACCACTGGCCACTCTCCATGGCCCCAATGACCACTGGATGACCACTGGTCACTCTCCATGGACCCAATGACCCAAGATGACCACTGGTCACTCTCCATTGACCCAATGACCACTGGATGACCACTGGTCACTCTCCATGGATCCAATAACCCCAGATGACCACTGGTCAATGTCCATGGTGCCGATGACCCCAGATGACCACTGGTCAATGTCCATGGAGATGAATGACCCAAGATGACCAATGGATGACCACTGGTCACTCTCCATGGCCCCGATGACCACTGGATGACCGCTGGTCACTCTCCATGGACCCAATGACCCAAGATGACCACTGGTCACTCTCCATGGACCCAATGACCAATGGATGACCACTGGTCACTCTCCATGGCGCCGATGACCCCAGATGACCAATGGTCACTCTCCATGGACCCAATGACCAATGGATGACCACTGGTCACTCTCCATGGAGCCAATGACCCAAGATGACCAATGGTCAATGTCCATGGAGATGAATGACCCAAGATGACCACTGGATGACCACTGGTCACTCTCCATGGACCCAATGACCACTGGATGACCACTGGATGACCACTGGTCACTCTCCATGGAGATGGATGACCAATGGGTGGTCAATGGTCACTCTCCATGGACCCAATGACCACTGGATGACCACTGGTCACTCTCCATGGACCCAATGACCACTGGATGACCACTGGTCACTCTCCACGGCACCGATGACCACTGGATGACCACTGGTCACTCTCCACGGTCCTGATGACCACTGGATGACCACTGGTCACTCTCCATGGACCCAATGACCCAAGATGACCACTGGTCACTCTCCATGGCCCCAATGACCACTGGATGACCACTGGTCAATGTCCATGGACCCAATTACCAATGGATGACCACTGGTCACTCTCCATGGACCCAATGACCACTGGATGACCACTGGTCACTCTCCATGGACCCAATGACCACTGGATGACCACTGGTCACTCTCCATGGACCCAATGACCACTGGATGACCACTGGTCAATGTCCATGGAGATGGATGACCCAAGATGACCACTGGTCACTCTCCATGGACCCAATGACCAATGGATGACCACTGGTCACTCTCCATGGAGCCAATGACCCAAGGTGACCAATGGGTGGTCAATGGTCACTCTCCATGGCACCAATGACCACTGGATGACCACTGGTCACTCTCCATGGCACCAATGACCACTGGATGACCACTGGTCACTCTCCATGGACCCAATGACCCAAGATGACCACTGGTCACTCTCCATGGACCCAATGACCACTGGATGACCACTGGTCACTCTCCATGGACCCAATGACCACTGGATGACCACTGGTCACTCTCCATGGACCCAATGACCACTGGATGACCACTGGTCACTCCCCATGGACCCAATGACCCAAGATGACCACTGGTCACTCTCCATGGATCCAATGACCCCGGATGACCACTGGTCACTCTCCATGACCCCGGATGACCCCGGATGACCACTGGTCACTCCTCACCTGGGATGGTCTCCGGGAAGCTCCGGACCGGCCGGAGTTCGGTGTCCAGCTGGACGCAGAAGCCGTTGAGGTGGACATTGACCCCGCAGACCTGAGGCGCGATGGGGCCGCACACCTGAGCAGAAATTTTGGGGCAAAAAACGGTGATTTTGGGAAAAAAACCAAAATTTGGAGTTCCACCTCCGCGGGGTTCCACCAAAAAAATGCAAATTTGGGTGGAAGCTCCAAAAAACCCAAATCTTGTGGTGGAACCTCCAAAAAACCTCCAAAACCCTCAAAAAAACCCCAAATTTTGGGGCGAAACTTCCTAAAAACCCAAATTTTGGGGTGGAACCTCCTAAAAATTCCAATTTTGGGGTGGAACCTCTTAAAAAAACCCCAAATTTTGGGGCAAAACCCCCAAAACCCCAAATTTTGGCGAAAAACTTCTTAGAAACCCAAATTTTGGGGTGGAACCTCCTAAAAAAACCAAATTTTGGGGCAAAACCTCCTAAAAACCTCCAAAAAATTTCAAATTTTTGGAGGAACCTTCTAAGAACCCAAATTTTGGGGTGGAACCTCCTAAAAACCCAAATTTTGGGGCAAAACCTCCTAAAAACCTCCTAAAAAAACCCCAATTTTTTTGAGGAACCTCCCAAAACCCCAAAATTTTTTGGAGGAACCTTCTAAGAACCCGAATTTTGGGGTGGAACCTCTTTAAAAAAAACCAAAATTTGGCGCAAAACCTCCTAAAAACTCCAAAAAACCCCAAATTTCTTTGAGGAACCTCCAAAAACCCCAAAAATTTTTGGAGGAACCTTCTAAAAACCCGAATTTTGGGGCGGAACCTCCTAAAAACCAAAATTTTGGGGCAAAACCTCCTAAAAACCTCCAAAAATCTTCAAATTTTTTGCAGGAACCTCCCAAGAACCCCAAATTTCTTTGAGGAACCTCCAAAAAACCCCAAAAAATTTTTGGAGGAACCTTCTAAGAACCCAAATTTTGGGGTGGAACCTCCTAAAAATACCCAAATTTTGGGGCAAAACCCCCCAAAACCCAAATTTCTTTGAGGAACCTCTAAAAAACCCCAAAATTTTTTGGAGGAACCTTCTAAGAACCCGAATTTTGGGGTGGAACCTCCTAAAAAACCCCAAATTTTGTGGTGGAACCTCCCAAAAAAACCCAATTTTTGGGGTGGAACCTTCTAAAAAACCCAAATTTTGGGGCAAAACCTCCTAAAAACCTCCAAAAAACCCCAAATTTTTTTAAAGGAACCTTCAAAGAACCCGAATTTTGGGGTGGAACCTCCTAAAAAAACCAAATTTTGGGGCAAAACCTCCAAAAAAACCCAAATTTTGGGGCAAAACCTCCTAAAAACCTCTGAAAAACTGCGAATTTCTTTAAGGAACCTCCAAAAAAACCCAAATTTCTTTGAGGAACCTCCCAAAAAACCCCAAAATTTTTTTGAGGAACCTTCTAAGAACCCAAATTTTGGGGTGGAACCTCCTAAAAACCCAAATTTTGGGGCGAAACCTCCTAAAAACCTCCCCAAAAAACCCAAATTTTTGGGGCAAAACCTCCTAAAAACCTCCCAAAAAACCCAAATTTTTTTGAGTAACCTCCCAAAAAACCCCAAAATTTTGTGGAGGAACCTTCTAAGAACCCGAATTTTGTGGTGGAACCTCCTAAAAAAACCAAATTTTGGGGCAAAACCTGCAAAAAAACCCAAATTTTGGGGTAAAACCTCCTAAAAACCTCCAAAAAAACCGAAATTTTGGGGCAAAACCACCTAAAAAAACCCAATTTTTTTTGAGGAATCTCCCAAAAACCCCAAATTTTTTTGAGGACCCCCCAAAACCCCCCAAATTTTGGGGTCCCCGCCCCATTTCGGGGGTCTCACCAGCGCCGCGTCGTCTCCGGCCGCCATCGCCAGCCCCAGCCGGGATTGGTTCACGCCGGGGGGTCCTGGGGGGGCGCGGGTGAGACCCCTCCCCAAAATTCGGGGTCCAGATTTTGGGGGGGGTCTCACCCTGAATTTGGGGAGGGGTCTGGGCCCAAATTTGGGGAGGGGTCTCACCTGTAGATCCCAAATTTGGGAGGGGTCTGAGCCCAAATTTGGGGAGGGGTCTCAGTGAATTAATTTGGGGAGGGGTCTCACCCCGAATTTGGGGAGGGGTCTCACCTGTGGATCCCCTAATTGGGGAGGGGTCTCAGTGAATTTGGGGAGGGGTCTGGCCCCAATTTGGGGAGGGGTCTCACCCCAAATTTGGGGAGGGGTCTCATCCCGAATTTGGGGAGGGGTCTCAGTGAATTTGGGGAGGGGTCTCACCCCGAATTTGGGGAGGGGTCTCACCTGTGGATCCCCAATTTGGGGAGGGGTCCCACCCGAATTTGGGGAGGGGTCTCACCTGTGGGATCCCCAAATTTGGGGAGGGGTCTCACTGAATTTGGGGAGGGGTCTCAGTGAATTTGGGGAGGGGTCTCAGTGAATTTGGGGAGGGGTCTCAGTGAATTTGGGGAGGGGTCTCAGTGAATTTGGGGAGGGGTCTCAGTGAATTAATTTGGGGAGGGGTCTCAGTGAATTAATTTGGGGAGGGGTCTCAGTGAATTAATTTGGGGAGGGGTCTCACCTGTAGATCCCAAATTTGGGGAGGGGGTCTGAGCCCAATTGGGGAGGGGTCTGGGCCCAAATTTGGGGAGGGGTCTCACCTGTGGGATCCCCAATTTGGGGAGGGGTCTGAGCCCAATTTGGGGAGGGGTCTCAGTGAATTTGGGGAGGGGTCTCAGTGAATTTGGGGAGGGGTCTGGGCCCGATTTGGGGAGGGGTCTCACATTGAATTTGGGGAGGGGTCTGGGCCCAATTTGGGGAGGGGTCCCACCCCAATTTGGGGAGGGGTCTCAGCCGGAATTTGGGGAGGGGTCTCAGTGAATTTGGGGAGGGGTCTGGGCCCAATTTGGGGAGGGGTCTGAGCCCGAATTTGGGGAGGGGTCTCAGTGAATTAATTTGGGGAGGGGTCTCAGTGGATTAATTTGGGGAGGGGTCTCACCCAAATTTGGGGAGGGGTCTCACCTGTGGATCCCCAATTTGGGGAGGGGTCTCAGTGAATTTGGGGAGGGGTCCCACAGGAATTTGGGGAGGGGTCTCAGTGAATTTGGGGAGGGGTCTCACAGAATTAATTTGGGGAGGGGTCTCACCTGTCAGCGGCAGTTTCCGGCACGTTCCGGAGCCGAAGGTGCAGCTGAAAACGGCCCCGGAGCCGCTCCCGGCATGGGGAGCCCCGACCAACAGCCTGGGGGGGTTTGGGGAAATTTGGGGGTTTTGGGGGTTTTTGGGGAAATTTGGGGGGTTTGAGGGGATTTTGGGGGATTTTGGGGGAATTTGGGGAAAATTTGGGAAAAATTAAGGGGATTTGAGGAAAATTTGGGGGATTTTGGGGAGATTTTGGGGATATTGGGGGGATTTTGGGGAGATTTTTGGGGTTTTTGGAGGGGATTTTTGGGGGGAAATTTGGGGGATTTTGAGGGGAAATTTGGGGGGTTTGGGGAAAATTCCGGGGATTTTGGGGAAAATTTGGGGGATTTTGGGGGGATTCAGGGGGGATCTTGGGGGGATTTTGGGGATTTTGGGGGGAAATTTGGGGAGATTTTGGGGATTTTTGGGTGAAATTTGGGGAAAATACGGGGGGATTTGGGGGAAAATTTGGGGGATTTGGGGGGATTTTGAGGGGAAATTTGGGAGTTTTGAGGGGATTTTGGGGGGATTTTGGGGGGGTTTAAGGGATTTGGGGATTTTTGGGGGGATTTGGGGGAAAATTTGGGGGATTTGGGGAAGATTCGGGGGGATTTTGGGGATTTTGGGGAGGATTTCCGGGGGAATTTTGGGGGAAATTTGGGAGATTTGGGGAAAAATTTGGGGATTTGGGGAAAATTTGGGGGATTTGGGGATTTTGGGGGAAATTTGGGGGGTTTGGGGGAGTTTTGAGAAGATTTTGGGGATTTTAGGGGGAAATTTGGTGGATTTGGGGAAAATTTGGGGGATTTGGGGAAAATTTGGGGGATTTGGGGATTTTGGGGGGATTTGGGGGATTTTGGGGATAATTCGGGGTGACTTTCAGAGCCATTTTGGGGCGATTTTGGGGTGATTTTTGGGTGTTTTTTAGTGCCATTTTGGGGTGATTTTGGGGAATTTCGGGGATAATTTGGGGTGATTTCTGGTGCCATTTTGGGGTGATTTGGGCATTTCGGGGATAATTTGGGGATAACTTAGGGATAATTTTGGGGTGATTTTGGGTTGATTTTGGGGTGATTTTTGCTGCCATTTTGGTGCCATTTCGGGGTGATTTTGGGTTGATTTTGGGATGATTTTGGGGTAATTTGGGGATAATTTGGGTTGATTTTGGGGTGAATTTGGGCCATTTCGGGGTCCCTCACCAGCTCCTGTCCCCGCCGCCCACTCCGGCCACGCTGACCCCGAAGCCGCTCCCGGAACCCCCCGGAAACACTTCGGGGCTCTCCAGGTCCAGCGCAGCGGTCAGCAGGGCTGGGGGTCAAAGGTCAAAGGTCAGGGGTCAAAGGTCACAGGTCAGGGGTCAGAGGTCAGAGCTGGGGGGGGTCTGATGGCCGAGTGACCACTCAGGTGTGTCCCCAATGTCCAGGGGGGTCCCCAATGTCCAGTTGTCCACTCCACCCCAATGGCCGAGTGACCAAGTGACCACCCCAATGTCCGAGTGACCCCTCAGGTGACCGAGTGACCACCCCAATGTCCGAGTGACCACTCAGGTGACCGAGTGACCACCCCGATGACCGAGTGACCACTCAGGTGTCCGAGTGACCACTCAGGTGACCAAGTGACCACCCCAATGTCCGAGTGACCACTCAGTGTCCGAGTGACCCATCAGGTGTCCGAGTGACCTCTCAGGTGACCGAGTGACCACCCCAATGTCCGAGTGACCACCCCAGTGTCCGAGTGACCACTCAGGTGACCAAGTGACCACCCCAATGTCCGAGTGACCAATCCAATGTCCGAGTGACCACTCAGGTGTCCGAGTGACCACTCAGGTGACCGAGTGACCACCCCAATGGCCGAGTGACCACTCAGGTGTCCGAGTGACCACTCAGGTGTCCGAGTGACCACTCAGGTGACCAAGTGACCACTCAGGTGACCGAGTGACCACCCCAATGGCCGAGTGACCACTCAGGTGTCCGAGTGACCCCTCAGGTGACCGAGTGACCACTCAGGTGTCCGAGTGACCACTCAGGTCTCCGAGTGACCACCCCAATGTCCGAGTGACCCCTCAGGTGACCCCCCAGGTGTGTCCCCAATGTCCAGGGGGGTCCCCAATGTCCAGTTGTCCACTCCACCCCAATGTCCGAGTGTCCAGTTGTCCACCCCAATGTCCGAGTGACCCCTCAGGTGTCCGAGTGACCCCTCAGGTGACCAAGTGACCACCCCAATGTCCGAGTGACCACCCCAATGTCCGAGTGACCACCCCAATGTCCGAGTGACCACTCAGGTGTCCGAGTGACCACCCCAATGTCCGAGTGACCCCTCAGGTGTCCGAGTGACCCCTCAGGTGTCCGAGTGACCACTCAGTGACCGAGTGACCCCTCAGGTGTCCGAGTGACCACCCCAATGTCCGAGTGACCACTCAGGTGTCCGAGTGACCACCCCAATGTCCGAGTGACCACTCAGGTGTCTGAGTGACCACCCCAATGTCCAAGTGACCACTCAGGTGTCCGAGTGACCCCTCAGGTGTCCGAGTGACCCCTCAGGTGACCGAGTGACCACTCAGGTGTCCGAGTGACCCCTCAGGTGTCCGAGTGACCCCTCAGGTGTCCGAGTGACCACTCAGGTGTCCGAGTGACCACTCAGATGTCCAAGTGACCACTCAGATGTCCGAGTGACCCCCCAGGTGACCCCCAGGTGTGTCCCCCCAATGTCCAGGGGGGTCCCCAATGTCCAGGTGTCCACTCCACCCCAGTGTCCGAGTGTCCAGTTGTCCACCCCAATGTCCAAGTGACCACTCAGGTGACCAAGTGACCACTCAGGTGACCGAGTGACCACCCCAATGTCCGAGTGACCCCTCAGGTGTCCGAGTGACCACTCAGGTGACCGAGTGACCACTCAGGTGTCCGAGTGACCACCCCAATGTCCGAGTGACCACTCAGGTGTCCGAGTGACCACCCCAATGTCCGAGTGACCGCCCCAATGTCCAAGTGACCACTCAGGTGACCGAGTGACCACTCCAATGTCCGAGTGACCACCCCAATGTCCGAGTGACCACTCAGGTGACCGAGTGACCACTCCAATGTCCGAGTGACCCCTCAGGTGACCCTGTGACCCCCCAGGTGACCCCCCAGGTGTCCCCAGGTGTGTCCCCAATGTCCAGATGTCCACTCCACCCCAATGTCCGAGTGTCCAGTTGTCCACCCCAATGTCCGAGTGACCCCTCAGGTGTCCGAGTGACCACTCAGGTGTGTCCCCAATGTCCAGGGGGGTCCCCAATGTCCAGTTGTCCACTCCACCCCAATGTCCGAGTGTCCAGTTGTCCACTCCAATGTCCGAGTGACCACCCAATGTCCGAGTGTCCACCCCAATGTCCGAGTGACCACTCAGGTGTCCGAGTGACCCCTCAGGTGACCGAGTGACCACCCCAATGTCCGAGTGACCACCCCAATGTCCGAGTGACCACTCAGGTGTCCGAGTGACCACCCCAATGTCCGAGTGACCCCTCAGGTGACCGAGTGACCACTCAGGTGACCGAGTGTCCACCCCAATGTCCGAGTGACCACTCAGGTGTCCGAGTGACCACTCAGGTGACCGAGTGACCCCTCAGGTGTCTGAGTGACCACCCCAATGTCTGAGTGACCACTCAGGTGACCAAGTGACCACTCAGGTGTCCGAGTGACCACCCCAATGTCCGAGTGACCACTCAGGTGACCGAGTGACCCCTCAGGTGTCCGAGTGACCCCCCAGGTGTCCGAGTGACCACTCAGGTGTCCGAGTGACCACCCCAATGTCCGAGTGACCCCTCAGGTGTCCGAGTGACCACTCAGGTGTCCGAGTGACCCCTCAGGTGTCCGAGTGACCACCCCAATGGCCGAGTGACCACCCCAATGTCCGAGTGACCACCCCAATGTCCGAGTGACCACTCAGGTGTCCGAGTGACCGCCCCAATGTCCGAGTGACCACTCAGGTGTCCGAGTGACCCCTCAGGTGTCCGAGTGACCACCCCAATGTCCGAGTGACCCCCAGGTGACCCCCAGGTGACCCCAGGTGACCCCAGGTGACCCCAGGTGACCTCACCTGTCCCCAGCACCACCAGCAGCTCTCGGGGCTCCATCGCGGCTCCTCCGGCCGAACCCCAAAAAAAAAACCCAAAAAAAGCGGAAATTTGGGGTGGGGGAGGGGCAGGAAGAGGGTGGGGGGAGGGGCGGGAAAGGTCGGGGTGGAAAAAACACCCAAAAACCGCAAAAAATGAAAAAAAAAATTTAAAAAAAGGGGGGGAGGGGAAGAAAATGGGGGACGGGGGTGGGGGAGAGATTTTGGGGTGAAAAAGGCCCAAAAAAGCAAAAAAACAAAATAAAAAAAAAGCCAAAAAAAACCAAAAAAAGGAAGTGGGTGGGGGGAGGGGCGGGTGAGAGATTTTGAGATGAAAAAAACCCAAAAAAGGAAAAAAAACAAAAAAAAAAAAAAAAACAAAAAAAAAAAAAAAAGGGAGGGGGGGGGGGAGGGGCGGGCGAGAAATTTTGGGGTGAAAAAGCCCCAAAAAAGCAAAAAAACAAAACAAAAAAAACCCCAAAAAAACAAAAAAAAAGGAAGGGGAGGGGAGGGGGGGTGAGAGATTTTGGGGTGAAAAAGCCGAAAAAACCCAAAAAACCCCCAAAAAACCAAAAAAACCCCCAAAAACCAGAAAAAAAAAACCCCAAAAAAAGGAATTGGTGGGGGAGGGGCGGGTGAGAGATTTTGGGGTGAAAAAAACCCAAAAAAGCAAAAAAAACAAAACAAAAAAAACCAAAAAAAAAAAAAAAAAAAAGGAAGGGGAGGGGGATGGGCAGGAAAGGGGTGGGGGGAGGGGCGGGGGAGAGATTTTGGGGTGAAAAAACCCCAAAAAAGGAAAAAAAAAAAAAAAAAAAGGCGGGAGGGGGGGGAGGGGTGGGGGGAGAGGAAATTTTGGGGGGTCACGTGGGGTCACCGCCCCTCCCCCACCCCCGCGGTGACGTCATCGGCGGGGGTGGGGGGAGGGGAAGAGGAAGGAGCCGCTGCCCGAGGTGGGGGAGGGGAAGGGGTGGGGGAGGGGCTGTCCGTGTGTCCGTCTGTCCGTCAGCGCCGTTAACGCCTATGGATTATTCTTAAAGGGGGCGTGGCTATGCAAATCACCCCTATTAACACCATTATATGGGTTTTTAAGTGAGGGCGTGGCTATGCAAATAACCCCTATTAACACCGTTTTATATATATATATATATATATATAAAAAAAATGTATTATATTATAATTTTATATATATGTATTATATATTATAATATATAATATATAATGTATTATATATGTATATTATATATTTATATATATAGTATTATATATTATATATGTATATATATTATGTATTTATATATTATATTATATATTATATACATATATATAATATATAATAAATAGATATTTTTTTTTTATATATATAAATATATGTTTTTAAGTGAGGGCGTGGCTATGCAAATCACCCCTAATAACTCCATTATATAGGTTTCAAACTGAGGGGCGTGTCTATGCAAATCACGCCTATTAACACCATTTTTATATATATATATACATATATTTATATTTATATATATACATTTATAGTTATATTTTATATATATATATATGTGTGTTTTTAGGTGGGGGCGTGGCTATGCAAATCACCTCCATTACCCCATATACCCTTTCCCAACCTGGGGGCGTGGCTATGCAAATCCCCCTATAACCCCCATTACAGGGTTCCCAACTTCGGGGCGTGGCTATGCAAATCACCCCATCACCCCCATTACAGGGTTCCCAATCCGGGGGCGTGGCTATGCAAATCACCCCCTTACCCATCACTCCGCGCGCCGCTCCCTCAGCAGGAAGAAGAAGCCGCTCAAAATGGCGGCGCTGTCCCGGCTGGGCCCGGCTCTATCCCGGCTGGGCCCGGTTCTGTCCCGCGCTGTCCCGGTTCCCTCCCGGCGCCCCGGTTCCATCCCGGGGTGGCCGCGGAGCCCCGGTGGGGTCCCGGTAGCCCCGGGGGCGGTCCCTATATCTTTTCCCAACCTCGGGGCGCGGCTATGCAAATCACCGCCATCACCGCCATTATATCGTTTCCAAACCTAGGGGCGCTTTTATGCAAATCACCCCTATTAACACACTTTGATAGGTTTTAATGTGAGGGCGTGTCTATGCAAATCACCCCTAATAACACCGTTGTACAGGTTTTATAGCTAAGGTGTTTCTATGCAAATCACCCTTATTAACCCCATTATATAGGTTTCAAACTGAGGGGCGTGTCTATTCAAATCACCCGTATTAACACTTTTTTTTATATATATGTATCTATATATTTATATATACATATATTTATATTTTTATATATATATATTTATGTTTATATTTTATATATATGTGTGTTTTTAGGTGGGGGCGTGGCTATGCAAATCACCTCCATTACCTCCCCTATACCCATTCCCAACCCCGGGGCGTGGCTATGCAAATCAACCCCATTACCCCATATACCCTTTCCCAACCTGGGGGCGTGGCTATGCAAATCCCCCCGTTACCACCAATACAACCTTCACCAACCTGTGGGCGTGGCTATGCAAATCACCCCCTTACCCATCACTCCCCGCGCCGCTCCCTCACGGTGAAGCCGCCGTTCCCAAGATGGCGGCGCTGTCCCGGCTGGGCCCGGCTCTATCCCGCCTGGGCCCGGTTCTGTCCCGCGCTGTCCCGCTTCCCTCCCGGCGCCCCGGGGCCATGCCGGGGTGGCCGCGGAGCCCCGGCGGTGCCCCGGTAGCCCCGGGAACGGTCCCGGTGCGGGCCATGGCCGGACACAACCGCTGGTCCAAAGTGCGGCACGTGAAGGCCCCGCGGGACGCGGAGCGGAGCCGCGAACGGCAGCGCCTGACGCGGATGCTGCGCGCGGCCGCTGCAGGTGTCGCGATAGGAGGGGCATATCGCGATATGGGGGGTGGGGATAGGCGGGGGCATGTCGCGATATGGGGGGGGTAATGGGGGGGTGGGGATGTCGCGATATAGGGGGAAAGGGGGAAGGGGGTGATGGGGTAATGGGAGGGGCGCCGCCATATTGGGATGTTGGGGTATCGCGATATTTGGGCAGTGGGATATCGCGATATTGGGGGATTGGGATATGGGGATATCGGGATATTGGGATATCGGGATATCGGGATATTGGGATATCGGGACATCGGGACATTGGGATATCGGGATATTGGGATACGGGGATATTGGGATATCGGGATATTGGGATATTGGGATATCGGGATATTGGGATATTGGGATATTGGAATATTGGGATATTGGGATATCGGGATATTGGGACATTGGGACATTGGGATATCGGGATATGGAATATTGGGATAAGGGGATACTGGGACATTGGGATATCATGATATTGGGATATGGGGACATTGGGATATGGGGATATCGCGATATTGGGAGATTGGGATATTGGGTTATCGCGATATCGGGACATTGGGATATCGGGATATTGGGATATCAGGACATTGGGATATGCGGATATCGCGATATCGGGATAATGGGATATGGGGATATCGTGATATTGGGATATTGGGATATTGGGACATTGAGATATCGCGATATCAGGAGATTGGGACATTGGGATATCACAATATTGGGATATGGGGACATTGGGATATCAGGATATCGCGATATCGGGACATTGGGATATCGGGACATTGGGATATCGGGACATCACGATATTGGAATACTGGGATAATGGGATATCGTGATATCGGGACATTTGGATATTGGGACATTGGGATATCGTGATAGCGGGACATTCGGATTAGGGGATATCGGGACATCGGGGTATTCTGATATCGGGAGATTGTGATATTGGGACATCGGGACATTGGGACATTGGGATGTCACGATATCGGGAGATTGGGATATTGGGATATCATGATATCGGGACATTGGGATATCACAATATTGGGTCATTGGGATATCAGGACATTGGGACGTCGGGATATCAGGACATGGGAATGTCGGGATATCGCGATATCGGGAGATTGGGATATCATGATATTGGGACATTGGGTATTGGGACATTGGGACATCGGGCTATTGGGATATTGGGATATCGTGATATCGGAATATTGGGATATTGGGATATTGGGATATCGGGACATTGGGACACAGGGATATCGCGATATTGGGATATCGCGATATCGGGACATTGGCATATTGGGATATCGGGAGATTGGGATATCGTGATATCGGAATATCGGGATATTGGGACATTGGGATGTCGCGATATTGGGACATTGGGATTTGGGGATATTGGGATATTGGAATATTGAGATATCAGGATATCGCGATATCAAGCTATTGGGATATCACGATATCGGGATATCGGGACATTGGGATATCGCGATATCGGGACATTGGGATATGGGGATATCGGGATATTGGGATATCACGATATCAGGACATTGGGCTGTCGCGATATCGGGACATGGGGATGTCGGGATATTGGGACATTGGGATATCGTGACATGGGTCTCTATTGCGACACGGGGCTCTATCGCGACATATAGTGTCTCTATCGCGATATCACATCTCTATCGCGGCCCTATCGCGGCCCTATCGTGATATGGCGTCTCTATCGTGTCTCTATTGTGATATCGCGGCTCTATCGCGACATATCACAACATATCGCGATATATCACGACAGAGGGCGGGGCGGAGGCGTCGCTGAACCCGGCGCTGGCGGCGCTGCTGGAGCGCTGCCGCAGCCAGAACGTCCCCAAGGCCACCATCGAGGGCGCCCTGCGGTCAGCCAGGGTGAGTGACCCCTGACCCCTGACCCCGAGTGACCCCTGAGTGACCCTGAGTGACCACTGACCCCTGAGTGACCCCTGAGTGACCAGTGAGTGACCAGTGAGGGACACAGAACGTCCCCAAGGCCACCATCGAGGGCGCCCTGCGGTCAGCCAGGGTGAGTGACCCCTGACCTCTGACCCCTGAGTGACCCCGAGTGACCCTGAGTGACCACTGACCAATGAGTGACCAATGAGTGACCAATGAGTGACCAATGAGTGACACAGAACGTCCCCAAGGCCACCATCGAGGGCGCCCTGCGGTCATCCAGGGTGAGTGACCCCTGACCTCTGACCCCTGAGTGACCCCGAGTGACCCCTGACCCATGAGTGACCAATGAGTGACCACTGACCAGTGACACAGAACGTCCCCAAGGCCACCATCGAGGGCGCCCTGAGGTCATCCAGGGTGAGTGACCCCTGACCTCTGACCCCTGAGTGACCCCGAGTGACCACTGACCAGTAACTGACCAATGAGTGACCAGTGAGTGACCACTGACCAATGAGTGACACAGAACGTCCCCAAGGCCACCATCGAGGGCGCCCTGCGGTCAGCCAGGGTGAGTGACCCCTGACCTCTGACCTCTGAGTGACCCTGAGTGACCACTGAGTGACCAATGAGTGACCAATGAGTGACCAATGAGTGACCACTGACCAGTGACACAGAACGTCCCCAAGGCCACCATCGAGGGCGCCCTGAGGTCAGCCAGGGTGAGTGACCCCTGACCCCTGACCCCTGAGTGACCCCGAGTGACCCTGAGTGACCACTGACCCCTGAGTGACCACTGACCCCTGAGTGACCACTGACCAGTGACACAGAACGTCCCCAAGGCCACCATCGAGGGCGCCCTGAGGTCAGCCAGGGTGAGTGACCCCTGACCTCTGACCCCTGAGTGACCCCTGAGTGACCACTGACCCCTGAGTGACCAATGAGTGACCAATGAGTGACCCTGAGTGACCCCTGAGTGACCCTGAGTGACCAATGAGTGACCCCGAGTGACCAATGAGGGACCAATGAGTGACCCTGAGTGACCCTGAGTGACCCTGAGTGACCCTGAGTGACCACTGACCAGTGAGTGACCACTGACCCCTGAGTGACCAATGAGTGACCAATGAGTGACCACTGACCACCACTGACCTCTGACCTCTCTCTCCGGCCACAGGAGCGTCCGGCCGGGTGGTCAGTGACCTTTGACCTCTCTCTCCGGCCACATGGTCACTGACCACTGACCTCTGACCACTGACCTCTGACCTCTCTCTCCGGCCACAGGATTGTCCGGGGGGGGTTTAGTGACCTCTGACCTCTCTCTCCGGCCACGGGGGTCACTGATTGACCTTTGACCTCTCTCTCCAGCCACGGGTCACTGACCACTGACCTTTGACCTCTCTCTCCAGCCACGGGGTCACTGACTGTTGACCTTTGACCTCTCTCTCCGGCCACAGGAGCATCCGGGGTGGAAACACTGACCACTGACTGCTGACCTTTGACCTCTGACCTCTGTCTCCGGCCACAGGAGCGTCCGGCCGGGGGGTCAGTGACCTTTGACCTCTCTCTCCGGCCACAGGAGCGTCCGGCCGGGGGTTTAGTGACCTTTGACCTTTCTCTCCGGCCACAGGAGCCTCCGGGGGGGGATCACTGACCACTGACTGCTGACCTTTGACCTTTGACCTCTCTCTCCGGCCACAGGAGCGCCCGGGGGGGGGAGTCAGTGACCTTTGACCTCTCTCTCCGGCCACAGGGTCACTGACCACTGACCTTTGACCTCTCTCTCCGGCCACAGGAGCGGTCAGTGACCTTTGACCTCTCTCTCCGGCCACGGGGGTCACTGACTGTTGACCTTTGACCTCTCTCTCCGGCCACGGGGTCACTGATTGACCTTTGACCTCTGTCTCCGGCCACAGGAGCGTCCGGGGGGGATCACAGACCACTGACTGCTGACCTTTGACCTTTGACCTCTGTCTCCGGCCACAGGAGCGTCCGGCCGGGGGGTCAGTGACCTTTGACCGCTGACCTTTGACCTTTGACCTCTCTCTCCGGCCACAGGAGCGTCCGGCCGGGGGCTCAGTGACCTTTGAACTCTCTCTCCGGCCACAGGGTCACTGACCACTGACCTTTGACCTCTGTCTCTGGCCACAGGAGTGTCCAGGGTGGAAACACTGACCACTGACCGCTGACCTCTGACCTTTCTCTCCGGCCATGGGGTCACTGACCACTGACCTTTGACCTCTCTCTCCGGCCACAGGAGCGTCCGGGGGGGCATCACTGACCACTGACCGCTGACCTTTGACCTTTGACCTCTGTCTCCGGCCACAGGAGCGTCCGGCCGGGGGGTCGCGGCTGCTGCTGACCGCTCGGGGCCCGGGGGGGGCGCTGCTGCTGCTGGACGTCCGCACGGACAACGTCCGGCGCACTCGGGACGAGCTCCGGACACTGCTCGGACGTCACGGGTCAGTGCTGACCCCCGGGTGACCCCTGGGTGACCCCTGGGTGACCCCTGAGTGACACCAATGAGTGACCCTGAGTGACCAATGAGTGACCCTGAGTGACCCTGAGTGACCGCACTGACCCCTGAGTGACCCCTGAGTGACCTCTGGGTGACCCCTGAGTGACCAATGAGTGACCCCTGAGTGACCCTGAGTGACCACACTGACCCCTGCGTGACCCTGAGTGACCAATGAGTGACCCTGAGTGACCACACTGACCACTGGGTGACCTCTGAGTGACCCCTGGGTGACCTTTGAGTGACCAATGAGTGACCCCGAGTGACCAATGAGTGACCCCTGAGTGACCAATGTGTGACCACACTGCCCCCTGAGTGACCCCTGGCTGACCCCTGAGTGACCCCTGGGTGACTCTGAGTGACCCCTGAGTGACCACACTGACCCCTGAGTGACCCCTGCTGACCCCTGGGTGACCCTGAATGACCCCACTGACCCCTGAGTGACCTCACTGACCCCTGGGTGACCTCTGGGTGACCACTGAGTGACCCCTGAGTGACCACTGAGTGACCACACTGACCACTGAGTGACCCCTGATGACCACTGAGTGACCCCTGAGTGACTCTGAGTGACCACACTGACCCCTGAGTGACCAATGAGTGACCCTGAGTGACCCCTGAGTGACCACACTGACCCCTCCCCCCCCGTGGTCACTCAGGAGGCATTAATGACCCCTAATGACCCCTGGGTGACCCTGGGTGACCCCTGAGTGACCACACTGACCCCTAATGACCACTGGTCACTCTGGAGGCTGTGACCCCTGAATGACCCCTGGGTGACCCCTGGGTGACCCCAAATGATGTCACTGACCCTGAATGACCCCACTGACCCCTCCCCCCCGTGGTCACTCAGGGCCGCGCTGACCGCTGGGTGACCTCACTGACCCCTGAGTGACCCCTGATGACCACTGGGTGACCCCAAATGACCCCAAATGACCCACTGACCCTGAATGACCCCACTGACCCCTCCCCCCCCACTGGTCACTCAGGGCCGCGCTGACCGCTGATGTCCGGCACGCCTTCGAGGCCGTGGGCGTGGTCCGAGTGTCCGGCCGGACGTTGCCCATGGAGGCGGCGCTGGAGGCGGCCGTAGTGGCCGGAGCCCAGGACGTGGTGGCCGAAGGTCAGGACGAGGTCAAGGTGGGTCCGGCCGCGCGCTGACCGCTGCTGTGGTCACTCTGGGGGTCACTCGGGGTCACTCCGGGGTCACTTGGGGTCACTCGGGGTCAGTGGTCAATTCTTGGGCACAGCAGTGACCGCACTGAGTGACCACTGACCACCCCAGTGACCACTGACCCCCCTGAGTGACCCCTTGACCTCCCCACTGACCCCTCACTGACCACCCCAGTGACCCCTGACTCCTGGCTGACCACTGACCCCTCCACTGACCCCTTGACCACCCTGAATGACCCCTTGACCCCTGACTGACCCCTGGCTGACCCTTGACCCCCCTCACTGACCACTGACCATTCCCACTGACCCCTCACTGACCCTTGACCACCTCAGTGACCTCTGGACCCCTGGCTGATCACTGACCCCTCCACTGACCCCTTGACCCTTTGCTGACCCCTTGACCTCCTCACTGACCCATCACTGACCACCCTGAATGACCCCTGACCCCCCTGAGTGACCCCTTGACCCCTCCCTGACCCCCTGAATGACCCCCTGACCCATCACTGATCTCCTGACTGACCCCTAATGACCCCTTGACACCCTCCCCCACAGTTCCTGATTGACCACTGACCCCTCACTGACCCCTGACCCCCCTGACTGACCCTTGACCCCCTCCCTGACCCCCCAAATGACCCCCTGACCCCTTGACCTTTGCCCCCGCAGTTCCTGTGTGACCCCTGACCCCCCTCACTGACCCCTTGACCCCCTGAATGACCTGACCACCCCAATGACCCCTGGCTGACCCCTGACCCCCCTGAATGACCCCCTGACCCCCCTCGCTGACTCCTGACGCCCCGAATGACCCCTTGACCCCCTGAGTGACCCTTGACCCCACAGTTCCTGTGTGACCCCTGACCCCTCACTGACCACCCTGAATGACCCCTAACCCCCCTGAGTGAGCCCTTGACCCCTCCATGACCCCCCTCCCTGACCCCCTGACCCCCCTGAGTGACCCTTGACCCCCCCCACTGACCCTTGACCCCCTCCCCCACTGTTCCTGTGCGACCCCTGACCCCTGAATGACCCCCTGACCCCCTCACTGACCCCTTGACCACCCCAGTGACCTCTTGACTCCCCCACTGACCCCCCTGAATGACCCCTTGACCACTGGCTGACCTCTGGCCCCTCACTGACCCCCTGGCTGACCCCTGACCCCCCTGAATGACCCCCTGAGTGACCCCTGACCCCCTCACTGACCCCTTGACCTCCCCATTAACCCCTGTCTGACCCTTGACCCCCTCACTGACCCCCCTGACCACCCCAATGACCCCTGGCTGACCACCCCAGTGACCCCTGGCTGAACCTTGACCCCCTCACTGACCACTGACCCCCCCGAGTGACCCCTTGACCCCCCTCACTGACCCCTGACCCCCCTGAATGAACCCCTGAGTGACCCTTGACCTCCCCCACTGACCCTTGACCTTTGCCCCCACAGTTCCTGTGTGACCCCTGGCTGACCCCTTGACCCCTCACTGACCCCTCACTGACCACCCTGAGTGACGCCCTGACCCCCCTGGCTGACCCCTGACCCCCTCAGTGACCCCTTGACCTCCCTATTGACCCCTCACTGACCCCTTGACCCCTGGCTGACCACTGACACCCCACTGACCCCTCACTGACCCCTGACCCCCCCGAGTGACCCCTTGACCTCCTCCCCCGCAGTTCCTGTGTGACCCCTGACTGACCACTGACCCCTTGACCACCCCAATGACCCCTGGCTGACCCCTGATCCCCCTGTCTGACCCCTGACCTTTGCCCCTGCAGTTCCTGTGTGCCCCCCCCTCTCTGGCCACTGTCCGGCAGTCCCTGGTGGCCGCGGGGCTCCGGCCGCTCTCGGCCACCGTCGAGTTCCGGCCGCGGTCAGCGCTGACCCCTCCGGCCGGGGCTCGGGCCGCGGCCGAGCGGCTGCTCGGGGCTCTGGCCGGCCGGCCGGACATCGCCGGCCTCTACCACAACCTGCAGCAGGGGTCAGAGGTCACGCCCGGCGGTCACTCGGCTCCGGACACCACCCACAGTGGTCACTCGGCTCCGGACACCACCCACGGCGGTCACTCGGCTCCGGACACCACGTCCAGTGGTCACTTGGCTCCGGCCACAGCTCCGGCCACAGCCCCCAGTGGTCACTCGGCTCTGGAGGTCACACCCGGTGGTCACTCAGCTCCGGCCACCACCCACAGTGGTCACTCTGCTCCGGCCTCGGCTCCGGCCACATCGTCCAGTGGTCACTCAGCTCCGGCCTCGGCTCCGGCCACCACGTCCAGTGGTCACTCGGCTCTGGACACCACCCCCAGTGGTCACTCATCTCCGGCCACACTGTCCGGTGGTCACTCGGGTCCGGACACCACGTCCAGTGGTCACTCGGCTCCGGACACCACCTCCAGTGGTCACTCGGCTCTGGACACGCTGCCCAGTGGTCACTCGGCTCTGGCCACACCGCCCAGTGGTCAATAAAGGACACAGAGCGGTCAGTGGGAGTGGTCAGTGGTCATTGGGGTGGTCAAGGGGGGGTCAAGGGTCAGTGGGGTGGTCAAAGGTCAATGGGAGTGCTCAGTGGTCATCAGCAGTGGTCAAGGGGTCAGTGGGGTCAAGGGGTCAGTGGGAGTGGTCAAGGGGTCAGTGGGGTCAAGGGGTCAGTGGGAGTGGTCAAGGGGTCAGTGGGGTCAAGGGGTCAGTGGGGTGGTCAAGGGGTCAAGGGGTCAGTGGGAGTGGTCAAGAGGTCAGGTGGTCAGGGGGATGGTCAATGGTCAGTGGGGTGGTCAGTGGGGGTGGTCAGTGGTCATTGGGGTGGTCAGTGGTCATTCAGGGGGGTCAATGGTCATTGGGGTGGTCAGTGGTCATTCAGGGTGGTCAGTGGTCATTGGGGGTGGTCAGTGGGATGGTCAGTGGTCAGTGGGGCGGTCAGTGGTCAGTGGCGTGGTCAGTGGTCATTCAGGGTGGTCATTGGGGGCGGTCAATGGTCATTGGGGTGGTCAGTGGTCATTGGGGTGGTCATTGGTCAGTGGTCAGTGGGATGGTCAGTGGCCATCGTGGCCACTCAGCGGTCATCGCGGCGCAGCCAAACACCACCCAGACCACAACACAGAGTGACCACAACCCCTCCGGCCACCGCGGCCGGGGTCATTTATTGAGCGGTCAGTCGTCCGAGCCGGCCGGACTGGCCAGGAAGAGGCCGGAGTAGCCAAAGGCCGGAGCGGAGCCTTCGTCCTCCTCATCGTCATCATCGTCCTCCTCGTGGTCATCGTGGTCATCGTGGTCATCGTGGTCATCCTCCTCCTCCTCCTCCTCCGGCCGGCCGGCGGCCGAGCGGTCAGCGCCGCCTCCCTCGGGCCTGCGGTCATCTCCGGCCGCCGCTCGGCCGCTTGACCACCGGTCATCTCCGGAGCCCGCTGACCACTGGTCATCGCTCCGGCCGGGCCGTCCTCCAGCTGACCACTGGTCATCGCTCCGGCCAGGCCGTCCTCCAGCTGACCACTGGTCATCGCTCCGGCCAGGCCGTCCTCCAGCTGACCACTGGTCATCGCTCCGGCCGGGCCTTCCTCCAGCTGACCACTGGTCATCGCTCCGGCCGGGCCGTCCTTCAGCTGACCACTGGTCATCTTGCAGCCCCGCTGACCACTGGTCATCCTTGGGCCCCGCTGACCACTGGTCATCCTTGGCTGACCACGGCTCCTCCTTCACCTTCACTGACCACTGGTCATCCTTTGGCCCCGCTGACCACTGGTCATCTTTGGCTGACCACTGGTCATCTCTTGAGCCAACTGCTTTTCCTCCAGCTGACCACTGGTCATCCTTCGGCCCCGCTGACCACTGGTCATCCTTGGCTGACCACTGCTCCTCCTTCACCTTCACTGACCACTGGTCATCCTTTGGCCCCGCTGACCACTGGTCATCTTTTGACCCCGCTGACCACTGTTCCTCCTTCACCTTCACTGACCACTGGTCATCTTTCGCTGACCACTGGTCATCCTTCGGCCCCGCTGACCACGGCTCGTCCTTGACCTTCACTGACCACTGGTCATCCTTCGGCCCCGCTGACCACTGGTCATTCTTCACCCCATCTCCTCCTCCAGCTGACCACTGGTCATCCTTCGGCCCCGCTGACCACTGGTCATCCTTGGCTGACCACGGCTCGTCCTTCACCTTCACTGACCACTGGTCATCCTTGGGTCCGGCTCTTCCTCCAGCTGACCACTGGTCATCTTTTGACCCCGATGACCACTGCTCATCCTTGACCGTTGCTGACCACTGGTCATCCTTTGGCTGGGCTCTTCCTCCAGCTGACCACTGGTCATCCTTCGGTCCCGCTGACCACGGCTCCTCCTTCACCTTCACTGACCACTGGTCATCTTTTGACCCCGCTGACCACTGCTCATCCTTGACTGTCGCTGACCACTGGTCACCTTTTGCTGACCATTGGTCATCCTTCGGCCGGGCTCTTCCTCCAGCTGACCACTGGTCATCTTTTGCTGACCACTGGTCATCTTTGGGCCCTGCTGACCACTGGTCATTTTTTGCTGACCACTGGTCATTTTTGGGCCCTGCTGACCACTGGTCACCTTTGGCTGACCACTGGTCATTCTTTGCCCCCGTTGACCATTGGTCACCTTTCGCTGACCACTGGTCACCTTTTGCTGACCATTGGTCATCCTTTGGCCCTGCTGACCACTGGTCACCTTTTGCTGACCACTGGTCATCCTTGGGCCCCGCTGACCACTGGTCACTTTTTGCTGACCACTGGTCATTTTTCGCTGACCACTGGTCATCCTTCACCCCCGCTGACCACTGGTCATCCCTTGAGCCACCCCTTCCGCCCCTCCCCCTCCCCGCGGCCGTCCGAGCTCTCCGCGGCCGCTTGACCGCCTCTCCGGCCGTTTCTCCGGCCGTTTCTGCGGCCGCCGCGCGGTGTCCGAGCAGCCGTCCGAGCAGGAATCGCCGCTGGCCGCGGGCCAACGTCCACTTGGCCTCGAGGCGCGCCAGCTCGTCGCAGAGCGCCGCGTTCTCCAGCACCAGCGCCCGCGCCGCGCGCCGCAGCCGCCGCAGCCGCGCCCGCAGCCGCTCCGCCGGACGCGGCCGGAGAGGTTTGGGCATCGTCCGGCCGGGGGGGGACGCTGTGGGGAGGGAAAGAGGGGGAAATTGGGGAAAAAATGGGGAAAATGGGGAAAATTGCGTGAAAATTGGCGAAAATTACGTGAAAATAGGTGAAAATTAAGTGAAAATGGGTCAAAATTGGCTAAAGTTGACACAAATTGGTCTTGGATTGACCAAAGTTGACCCAACTTGACCCAAATTGACACAAAATGGACCAAATTGGTCTTGGATTGACCCAACTTGGCCAAAATTGGTCTGAGATTGACCCAAATTGAGCTATTTGGCCAAAGTTGACACAAATTGGCCAAAATTGACCCAAATTGACACAAATTGACCCAAATTGGTCTTGGATTGACTCAAATTGAGCCAATTGGCCAAAGTTGACCCAACTTGACCAAAATTGGCCCAAATTGGTCTTGGATTGACCCAACTTGACCAAAATGGATCCAAATTGACCAAAATGGATCCAAATTGGCCAGAACTGACCCAAATTGGTCTTGGATTGACCCAAATTGACAAAGTTGACCACAATTGACACAAATTGGCCATAATTGGCCCAAATTGGTCTTGGATTGAGCAAAATTGACCCAATTGGCCAAAATTGACCCAACTTGACCAAAACTGACCCAAATTTGTCTTGGATTGACACAACTTGACCAAAATGGATCCAAATTGGCCAAAATGGCCAAAATTGGTCTTGGATTGACCCAAATTGGTCTTGGATTGATTCAACTTGACCAAAATGGATCCAAATTGGCCAAAATTGACCCAAATTGGTCTTGGATCAACCCAATTCGAGCCAATTGGCCAAAATTGGTCTTGGATTGACCCAAATTGGTCTTGGATTGATTCAACTTGACCAAAATGGATCCAAATTGGCCAAAATTGACCCAAATTGGTCTTGGATCAACCCAATTCGAGCCAATTGGCCAAAATTGGTCTTGGATTGACCCAAATTGACCCAAATTGGTCTTGGATTGAGCAAAATTGGCCCAAATTGGTCTTGGATTGACCCAAATTCGTCTTGGATTGAGCAAAGTTGACCAAAATGGGTCCAAGTTGGCCAAAATTGGCCCAAATTGGTCTTGGATTGACCCAAATTGGCCAAAATTAACCTAAATTGGCCAAAATTGACACAAATTTGACCAAAATTGACCCAAATTGAACAAAATTGACCCAAATTGACAGAAATTGTCCCAAATTGGTCTTGGATTGACCCAAATTGACACAAATTTGACCAGTATTGACAGAAATTGTCCCAAATTGGCCAAAATTGACCCAAATTGGTCTTGGATTGACTCAAATTGAGCCAATTGGCCAAAACTGACCCAGCTTGACCAAAATTGACCCAAATTGGTCTTGGATTGACCCAAATTGACACAAATTTGACCAAAATTGTCACAGATTGGCAATAATTGACACAAATTTGTCATGGATTGACCAAAATTGGCCAAAATTGACCAAATTGGTTTTGGATTGACCCAAGTCAAGGTTGGGTTGACCCAAATTGACCAAAATGGACCCAAATTGACCAAAATGGCACAAATTGACCAAAACAGACCCAAATTACCCAAATTGGCACAAATTGACCCAAAATGGACCCAATTTTGGGTCGATTTGGGTCAATTTTGGTAGATTTGAGCCAGCAAATAAAAAAAAAGACACAAATCAGCAGAAATTGACCCAAATCGACCCAAAGTGGCACAAATTGACCCAAAATTACCAAAATCAGCACAAATTGAACCAAATTAACACAAATCGACCCAAAATTACCCAAATCAGCACAAATTGACCCAAAATGACCCAAATTGCCCCAAACCAAGCCCGGAGGAACCTTTGGGGTAAAAATCGGGGAAATCGGGAAAAGGCGGGGGCGGATTTGGGGCGAAAATGGCGATTATTGGGAAAACTGATCGATCCATCGATCCGCATCGATCAGCGGCCCGGGGGAAGCTCCCCTCCCCCTCCCTCTCCTTCCTCGCGGGGTTTTGGGGCAAAATTCGCCGATTTTTGGGGCAAAATTCGCCGATTTTGGGGCAAAATTCGCCGATTTTGGGACTCACCTGGGCCGGAACGAAGCGGGTGCGACCGGAAGTGAACGCGGGGGGAAGGGAAAGGAGGCAACGCCGCCGGAAGTGGGTGGTGAAACCGGAAGTATCCCCCTCCAAAAAACAAAAAAAACCCGAAAAACGTTAATTTTACCCCAAACCGACTCCGGCTCCGGTTTGAGGCCCCGATTGCGTCACGGGTTTTCCTTTTTGGTGCCAAAACGCCGCGTTTTGGGGCCTCTTTTCCGTTGTTTTCGGCTGCGAGCCGCTCTGGGCCGCTCGGAGGACCGCGACTTCCGTTAACCTCAACGCTCCGCCCTCGTCTCTATGGTCACTTCCGCTCCGCGCTGGCACTTCCGCTTCCTCTCTATGGTTACTTCCGGTCGGAGCCGTTTTGGCCCCAATTCCCCTTTTTGATTTTGCCCAAAATCCCCAAATTTCCCCCCAAAAATTCCCAATATTCCCCCAAAAACCCCCAATCCCCCTTCAAAACCTCCATTCCCATCCCAATTTCCCCAATTTTCCCCCCAAACCCCATTTCCTTTCCAAAAATCCCCTTTTTTACCCCAAAATTCCCTCATTTTTCCCACCGAAAATTCCGCTTTTTTTTGGCCAAATTCCCGATTTTTCGCCCCAAAATTCCCGGGATTTTTTGACTCCGCCCTCCCCGGTCCCGCCCCGCCCCATCCCAACTCCCAGGGGGGCGTGGCCGACCCAAAATCCCGGGAAATTGCCCCAAATTCGGGGTGGGGGAGGGGCGGCGGCGGCGCCATGGAGCCCCAGGTGAGGGGGGGGAGGGGAATTTTGGGGAAATTTTGGGGAATTTTGGGGTTTTTGGGAATTTTGGGCAATTTCGGACGAGTTCGGAACCGCTTCCGGGTGGGGGAGGGGAATTTGGGGCGAATTTTTGGGATTTTGGGGAGAATTTGGGTATTTTGGGGAATTTTTGGATTTTTTGAGAGAATTTTGGGGGTCCCGGAGTGAATTTTGGGGATTTTTGGGAATTTTTTGGGGTTTTTTGGGAATTTTGGGCAATTTCGGACGAGTTCGGAGCCGCTTCCGGGTGGGGGAGGAGAATTTGGGGCGAATTTTGGGGAGAATTTGGGGATTTTTTTTTGGGAATTTTTGGATTTTTTTTTAAAAGAATTTTGGAGGTCCCGGAGTGAATTTTTGGGGGAAAATTTGGGGATTTTTTGGGGAATTTCGGGCAATTTCGGAGCCGCTTCCGGGTGGGGGAGGAGAATTTGGGGCGAATTTTGGGGATTTTTGGGAATTTTTTAGAATTTTTGGGGGTTTTTTGGGTTTTTTTGCCATTTTGGGCTCCCCCGGGGGCATTTTTGGAGTTGAAATTTGAATTTTGGCGATTCCCGATGGGATTTTTGGGGGTTTTTTTGGGGTTTTTTTGGGTTTTTTTGGGGTTTTTTTGGGATTTTGGGATTCCCAGTTCCCTCCCAGTATTCCCAGTTGGATTTTTTGGGTTCCCAGGTGAATTTTGACGCTTTCCAGGTGAATTTTGACGATTTCCAGTGAATTTTGACCATTTTGACCATTCCCGGTGCGATTTTTTGGGGTTTTTTTGGGAATTTTTGGGAATTTGGGATTCCCAGTTCAATCCCAGTATTCCCAGTTCAATCCCAGTTCATTCCCAGGTGGATTTCAACGATTCCCAGTTGGATTTTGACGATTCCCAGGTGCGTTTTTGGGGTTCCAATGGGAATTTTGACCATTTTGGCCGTTCTCGGTGCAATTTTTTGGGCTTTTTTTGGGGTTTTTTGGGAATTTGGGATTCCCAGTTGCCTCCCAATATTCCCAGTTGAATCCCAGTATTCCCACTTCAATCCCACTTCAATCCCAGTTCAATCCCAGTTCAATCCCAGTTCATTTCCAGTTGGATTTTGATGATTTCCAGTGGATTTTGACCATTTTGGCCGTTCCTGGTGTGATTTTTTTGGGGTTTTTTGGGTTTTTTTGGGGGATTTTGGGATTCCCAGTATTCCCAGTTCCCTCCCAGTATTCCCAGTTCATTCCCAGTTCAATCCCAGTTCATTCCCAGTTCGATTTTGATGATTTCCAGGTGAATTTTGACGATTTCCAGGTGAATTTTGACGATTTCCAGGTGAATTTTGACGATTTCCAGGTGAATTTTGACCATTTTGGCCGTTCCTGGTGCGATTTTTTGGGGTTTTTTTTGGGGATTTTGGGATTCCCAGTATTCCCAGTTGCCTCCCAGTATTCCCAGTTCAATCCCAGTTCATTCCCAGTTGGATTTTGATGATTTCCAGGTGAATTTTGACGATTTCCAGGTGAATTTTGACGATTTCCAGGTGAATTTTGACCATTTTGGCCGTTCCCGGTGCGATTTTTTGGGGTTTTTTGGGGGATTTTTTGGGAATTTTTGGGAATTTGGGATTCCCAGTTCCCTCCCAGTATTCCCAGTTCAATCCCAGTTCAATCCCAGTTCAATCCCAGTATTCCCAGTTGGATTTTGACGCTTTCCAGGTGAATTTTGACGATTTCCATGTGAATTTTGACCATTTTGGCCGTTCCCGGTGCGATTTTTTGGGTTTTTTTTGGGGAATTTTTGGGAATTTGGGATTCCCAGTTCCCTCCCAGTATTCCCAGTTCATTCCCAGTTCAATCCCAGTATTCCCAGTTCAATCCCAGTTCATTCCCAGTTGGATTTAATCAATTCCCAGGTGCATTTTTGGGGTTCCAATGGGAATTTTGACCATTTTGGCCATTCCCGGTGCAATTTTTTGGGGTTTTTTTGGGTTTTTTTGGGAATTTGGGATTCCCAGTTCCCTCCCAGTATTCCCAGTTCAATCCCAGTATTCCCAGTTCAATCCCAGTTCCCTCCCAGTTCATTCCCAGTATTCCCAGTTGGATTTTTTTGGATTCCCAGTTGGATTTTGGTGATTTCCAGGTGGATTTTGACCATTTTGGCCGTTCCCGGTGCGATTTTTTGGGGCTTTTTTGGGGTTTTTTTGGGGATTTTTTGGGGATTTTGGGATTCCCAGTATTCCCAGTTCAATCCCAGTATTTCCAGTTGGAATTTTTTGGGTTTCCAGTTGGATTTTGGCTATTCTGAGGTGCATTTTTGGGGTTCCAATGGGAATTTTGACCATTTTGGCCGTTCCTGGTGCGATTTTTTGGGGTTTTTTGGGGATTTTTTTGGAATTTTTTTGATTTTTCCGGGATTTTGACCATTCCCAGTATTCCCAGTTCAATCCCAGTTCATTCCCAGTTGGATTTTGACGCTTTCCAGGTGAATTTTGGCGATTTCCAGTGAATTTTGACCATTTTGGCCGTTCCCGGTGCGATTTTTTGGGGTTTTTTGGGGTTTTTTTGGGGTTTTTTTGGGGAATTTTGGGGAATTTGGGATTCCCAGTTGAATCCCAGTATTCCCAGTTGGATTTTGGCTATTTCCAGGTGAATTTTGATGATTTCCAGTTGAATTTTTGCGATTTCCAGTGAATTTTGACCGTTTTGGCCGTTCCCGGTGCGATTTTTTTGGGGTTTTTTTTGGGTTTTTTGGGAATTTGGGATTCCCAGTCCAATCCCAGTATTCCCAGTTGGATGTGGACCCTCGCAGGGGCTGGTGCTGGTGCTGACGGGCGGTTCGGGGTTCCTGGGCTCCCACCTGGTGCAGCTGCTGCTGGAGGCGGCGCCGGAGCTTCGGGAGCTGCGGATCCTCGACCTCAACCCCGACCCCTCGACGGTCCCGGAGCGCCACCGTGAGCCCCAAAATACCCCAAATTCGCCCCAAAAATCTGCCCAAAAATCCGCCCCAAAATCTGCCCCAAAATCACCCCGATTCGCCCCAAAAATCTGCCCAAAATCCCAAAAAATCCACCCCAAAATCACCAAAATATTCCCAAAAATCTGCCCAAAATCTGCCCCAAAATATTCCCAAAAATCAGCCCCAAAATACCCCCGATTCACCCCAAAAATCTGCCCAAAAATCCCAAAAAATCTGTCCCAAAATCCCCCCGATTCGCCCCAAAAATCTGCCCAAAATCCAAAAAAAATCCGCCCCAAAATCCCCCCGATTCGCCCCAAAAATCCCACCCAAAATCTGCCCCAAAATCCCCCCGATTCACCCCAAAAATCTGCCCAAAAATCCGTCCCAAAATCCCCCCGATTCGCCCCAAAAATCCCACCCAAAATCCCCCCGATTCGCCCCAAAAATCCCCAAAAAATCTGCCCCAAAATCTGCCCCAAAATCCCCCCGATTCGCCCCAAAAATCCCACCCAAAAATCCCCAAAATCTGCCCCAAAATCCCCCCGATTTGCCCCAAAAATCCGCCCAAAAATCCCCAAAAATCCGCCCCAAAATCCCCTTGATTCGCCCCAAAAATCCCACCCAAAATCCGCCCCAAAATCCCCCCGATTCGCCCCAAAAATCTGCCCAAAAATCCGCCCCAAAATCCCTAAAAAAATCCCTAAAAATATTCCCAAAAAATCGGCACAAAATCCCCCCGATTCGCCCCAAAAATCTGCCCAAAAATCCCCAAAATCTGCCCCAAAATCCCCCCGATTCGCCCCAAAAATCCCAAAAAATCTGCCCAAAAATCCACCCCAAAATCCCTTAAAAAATCCCAAAAAATATTCCCAAAAATCATCCCAAAAATCCAACAAATTCGCCCCAAAAATCTACCCCAAAATCCCTTAAAAAATCGCTTAAAATATTCCCAAAAATCAGCCCAAGATCCCCCAAATCCACCCCAAAAATCCACCCCAAAGTCCCCAAATATCCGCCCCAAAATCCCTAAAAAAATCCCCAAAAATATTCCCAAAAATCGACGCAAAATCCCCAAAATATTCCCAAAAATCTGCCCCAAGATCCCCCAAATTCACCCCAAAAATCTGCCCAAAAATCTGCTCCAAAATTTTGGGATGACTTTGGGGTGAATTTTGGGGTTTTTGGGATGAATTTTGGGGTTTTTGGGATGAATTTTGGGGTTTTTGGGGCGAATTTGGGGGTTTTTGGGGTGAATTTTGGGGCGATTTGGGGATGAATTTTTTGGGTGACTTTGGGCTGACTTTGGGGTGAATTTTGGGGCAATTTTGGGATGAATTTTGGTGTGACTTTGGATGATTTTTGGGGTGAATTTTGGGCTGAATTTTGGGTGAATTTTGGGGTGAATTTTGGGTTAATTTAGGGTAAATTTTGGGGTTTTTTGGGTGAATTTTGGGTTTTTTGGGGTGAATTTTGGGGTTTTTGGGCTGAATTTTGGGTTGATTTTGGGCTGACTTTGGGGTGAATTTTGGGGTGAATTTTGGGGTGAATTTTGGGTATTTTGGGACAGGTGACCGTGTCCGTCTGTACCCCGGTGACGTCACTGACCCGGGGTGACTTTGGGGTGAATTTTGGGGTGAATTTTGGGGTGAATTTTGGGTATTTTAGGGTAAATTTGGGGGTGAATTTTGGGGCAATTTTGGGATGAATTTTGGGGTGACTTTGGGATGAATTTGGGGTGACTTTGGGGTGAATTTTGGGGTGAATTTTGGGGTGAATTTTGGGGTGAATTTTGGGGTTTTTGGGGTGAATTTTGGGGTTCTTGTGGTGAATTTTGGGGCGATTTTGGGCTGAATTTTTGGGTGACTTTGGGTGACTTTGGGCTGACTTTGGGGTGAATTTTGGGGTGAATTTTGGGTATTTTGGGACAGGTGACCGTGTCCGTCTGTTCCCCGGTGACATCACTGACCCGGGGTGACTTTGGGGTGAATTTTGGGGTGAATTTTGGGGCGATTTTGGGATGAATTTTTGAGGTGAATCTGGGGTGAATTTTGGGGTGAATTTGGCAATTTTTGGGTAAATTTTTGGGTGAATTTTGGGTGACTTTGGGGTGAATTTTGGGGCGAATTTTGGGATGAATTTTGGGATTTTTAGGGTGAATTTTGGGGTTTTTGGGGTGAATTTTGGGGATTTTGGGATGAATTTTTTGTGTGACTTTGGGCTGACTTTGGGGTGAATTTTGGGGTGAATTTTGGGTATTTTGGGGCAGGTGACCGTGTCCGGCTGTTCCCCGGTGACGTCACTGACCCGGGGGGACTTTGGGGTGAATTTTGGGGTGAATTTTGGGTATTTTGGGGCAGATGACTGTGTCCGTCTGTACCCCGGTGATGTCACTGACCCGGGGTGACTTTGGGCTGAATTTTGGGTGAATTTTGGGGTGAATTTTGCGGTGAATTTTGGGATTTTTGGGATGAATTTTTTGGGTGACTTTGGGTGATTTTTGGGGTGAATTTTGGGTTAATTTAGGGTAAATTTTGGGGTTTTTGGGGTGAATTATGGGTTTTTTGGGCTGAATTTTGGGGTTTTTGGGCTGAATTTTTTGGGTGACTTTGGGCTGACTTTGGGGTGACTTAGGGGTGACTTTTGGGGTAAATTTGGCCGTTTTTGGGACAGGTGACCGTGTCCGTCTGTTCCCCGGTGACGTCACTGACCCGGGGTGACTTTGGGGTGAATTTTGGGGTGAATTTTGGGTATTTTGGGCTGAATTTTTTGGGTGACTTTGGGGTGTTTTTGGGCTGAATTTTGGGGTAAATTTGGCCGTTTTTGGGGCAGGTGACCGTGTCCGGCTGTTCCCCGGTGACGTCACTGACCCGGGGTGACTTTGGGGTGAATTTTGGGCTGAATTTTGGGGTTTTTGGGCTGAATTTTTTGGGTGACTTTGTGATGACTTTGGGGTGTTTTTGGGGTGAATTTTGGGGTAAATTTGGCCGTTTTTGGGACAGGTGACCGTGTCCGTCTGTTCCCCGGTGACGTCACTGACCCGGGGTGACTTTGGGGTGAATTTTGGGGTAAATTTGGGGTAAATTTGGCCATTTTTGGGACAGGTGACCGTGTCCGTCTGTTCCCCGGTGACGTCACGGCGCTCTCGGCGCTCTCGGCCGCTCTGGGCGGGGCCGGGGCCGTGCTCCACAGCGCCGCCCTGGTGGACGTTTGGGGGCGCTGCAGCCCCGAGGAGGTGGCCAAGGTCAACGTGCTGGGTGAGACTGGGAGGGACTGGGAGGGACTGGGATGTACTGGGAGGGACTGGGAGGGACTGGGAGGGACTGGGGGGGAACTGGGAGGAACTGGGATGGACTGGGAGGGACTGGGAGGGACTGGGATGGACTGGGATATACTGGGAGGGACTGGGAGGGAACTGGGAGAGGTTTGGGGGGGGACTGAGAGGGACTGGGAACAAACTGGGATGGAACTGGGATGGACTGGGAGGGGTTTGGGGGGGACTGGGATAAACTGGGAGGGACTGGGATGGACTGGGAGGGGTTTGGGGGGGACTGGGAGGGACTGGGGGGGAACTGGGAGGGAACTGGGAGGGGTTTGGGGGGGACTGGGTTATACTGGGAGGGACTGGGAGGGACTGGGAGGGGACTGGGAGGGGTTCAGGGGGGGACTGGGATAAACTGGGATAAACTGGGAGGGACTGGGAGGGACTGGGAGAGGTTTGGGAGGGACTGGGACAAACTGGGAGGGAACTGGGAGAAGTTTGGGGGGGACTGGGATAAACTGGGACAAACTGGGAGGGACTGGGAGGGACTGGGATATACTGGGATAAACTGGGAGGGACTGGGAGGGGTTTGGGGGGGACTGGGGGGAACTGGGATGAACTGGGACAAACTGGGAGGGGACTGAGACAAACTGGGGGGGAACTGGGACAGACTGGGAGGAAACTGGGTTATACTGGGAGGGACTGGGAGGGGATTGGGAGGGACTGGGAGAAACTGGGAGGGACTGGGAGGGACTGGGAGGGGTTTGGGAGGGACTGGGATGGACTGGGATAAACTGGGAGGGACTGGGAGAGACTGGGAGGGGTTTGGAGGGGACTGGGGGGGGGAACTGGGAGGGAACTGGGATAAACTGGGAGGGAACTGGGAGGAAACTGGGAGGGGACTGGGTCAAACTGGGAGGGACTGGGAGGGAACTGGGATGGACTGGGAGGGACTGGGAGAACACTGGGACAAACTGGGGGGACTGGGAGAGGTTTGGGGGGCACTGGGACAAACTGGGAGGGGTTTGGGGGGGACTGGGAGGGACTGGGAGGGGTTTGGGAGGGAACTGGGAGGGAACTGGGAACAAACTGGGAGGGAACTGGGAGGGAACTGGGACAGACAGGGAGGGACTGGGAGAGGTTTGGGGGGGACTGGGACAAACTGGGACAAACTGGGAGGGACTGGGAGGGCCCGGGGCTCTTTTTTGGGTTTTGTTTTTAGGGGATTTTTGGAGAATTTTTTGGGATAATTTCAGGGTATTTTGGGGATATTTTGGGGCTATTTTTGGGGTGGTTTCAGGATATTTTGAGGATATTTTGGGGATTTTTTTTGGTAATTTCAGGATATTTTGGGGATATTTTTGGGGAGGCTCCAGGCTATTTTTGGGGTGATTTCAGGGTATTTTGGGGATATTTTTGGGGTAATCTCAGGATATTTTGGGGATATTTTGGGGATATTTTTGGGATAATTTCAGGGTATTTTTTGGGATAATTTCAGGATATTTTTGGGATAATTTCCGGCTATTTTGGGGATATTTTTGGGGTAATTTTGGGGATATTTTGGAGATATTTTTTGGGTAATTTCAGGATATTTCGGGGATATTTTTGGGGTGGTTCCAGGCTATTTTTGGGGTAATTTCAGGGTATTTTTTGGATAATTTCAGGATATTTTTAGGATAATTTCCGGGTATTTTGGGGATATTTTTGGGGTAATTTCAGGATATTTTGGGCATATTTTTGGGATAATTTCAGGCTATTTTTGGGGTAATTTCAGGAGGTTTTGGGGATATTTTTGGGGCAATCTCAGGATATTTTGGGGACATTTTTGGGGCGGTTCCAGGCTATTTTTGGGGTAATTTCTGGATATTTTGGGGATATTTTTGGGGTAATTTCAGGAGGTTTTGGGGATATTTTTGGGGCGGTTCCAGGCTATTTTTGGGGTAATTTCAGGGTATTTTGGGGCTATTTTTGGGGATATTTTTGGGGTGGTTCCAGGCTATTTTTGGGATAATTTCAGGATATTTTGGGGATATTTTTTGGCTATTTTCAGGATATTTTGGGGATATTTTTGGGGCGGTTCCAGGCTATTTTTGGGGTGATTTCAGGGTATTTTGGGGATATTTTGGGGATTTTTTTTGGTAATTTCAGGATATTTTGGGGATATTTTGGGGATATTTTTGGGGTAATCTCAGGATATTTTGGGGATATTTTGGGGATATTTTTGGGGTAATTTCAGGATGTTTTGGGGTTATTTTGGGGATATTTTTGGGGCAATCTCAGGATATTTTGGGGATATTTTGGGGATATTTTTGGGGTGGTCCCAGGTTATTTTTGGGGTGATTTCAGGCGGTTTTGGGTGCTTTTCCAGGCACCAAGAACGTGATCCGGGCCTGCCGGGCCGGAGGATTTTGGGGCAATTTTAGGGGGGGGTTGGGATTTTGGGTTTATTTTAGGGGTAATTTTGGGGGTAATTTCAGGATATTTTGGGGATATTTTTGGGATAATTTCAGGATATTTTTAGTATAATTTCCGGGTATTTTGGGGATATTTTTGGGGTAATTTCAGGGTATTTTGGGCATATTTTTGGGGTAATTTCAGGATATTTTGGGGATATTTTGGGGATATTTTTGGGCTATTTTCAGGATATTTTTGGGATAATCTCAGGGTATTTTGGGGATATTTTTGGGGTGATTTCAGGCGGTTTTGGGTGCTTTTCCAGGCACCAAGAACGTGATCCGGGCCTGCCGGGCCGCGGGGGTGCCGGTGCTGATCTACACCAGCAGCATGGAGGTGGTGGGGCCCAACACCCGCGGGGACCCCTTCGTCAGGTGGGGACCCCAAAACCCCCGAAACGCACCCCAAAACAACCCGGAGCCAAAAATGCACCCCAAAAACGGACTCGGCGCCCCCAAAAACACCAAAAAACACCCCAAAAATCACCCCAAAAAATCACCCCAAAACCACAAAAACTGCCTCAAAAATGGAATCGGCGCCACCAAACACCCCAAAAATGGACTCAGTACCCCCAAAAACCCCAAAAAACACCCAAAAAATCACCCCAAAACCACAAAAACTGCCTCAAAATATGAATCCGTGCCCTTAAAAACTCCAAAAACGGACTCGGCGCCCCCAAAAACCCCTAAAAACACCCCAAAAATGGAATCAGCACCCCCAAAAACCACCCTAAAACCCCAAAAACTGCCTCAAAAATGGAATCGGTGCCCCCAAAAACCCCAAAAAACACCCCAAAAATGGAATCAGCACCCCCAAAAACCACCCTAAAACCCCAAAAACTGCCTCAAAAACGGAATCGGTGCCCCCAAAAACCCCAAAAATGGACTCGGCACCCCCAAAAACCCCAAAAAACACCCCAAAAACGGACTCGTCGCCCCCAAAAACCCCTAAAAACACCCCAAAACCACAAAAACTGCCTCAAAAATGGACTCAGAGCCCCCCAAAACCCCAAAAACCCCCCAAAAAATCACCCAAAAACCACAAAAACTGCCTTAAAAATGGAATCGGCGCCCCCAAAAACCCCAAAAAACACCCCAAAAATCGCCCCAAAACCCCAAAAACTGCCTCAAAATATGAATCCGTGACCCCAAAAACCCCGAAAATGGACTCGGAGCCCCCAAAAACCCCAAAAAACACCCCAAAAATCACCCCAAAACCACAAAAACTGCCTCAAAAATGGAATTGGTGACCCCAAAAACCCCGAAAATGGATTCGGAGCCCCCAAAAACCCCAAAAAACACCCAAAAAATCACCCCAAAACCACAAAAACTGCCTCAAAAATGGAATTGGCGCCCCAAAAACCCCCAAAAAAACCCCAAAAATGGACTCGGTACCCCCCAAAACCCTAAAAAACACCCAAAAATGGAATTGGCACCCCCAAAAACCCCCAAAACACCCCAAAATTCCCCAAAAAACCCCAAAAATCCCAAAAACCAAAAATCCATCCCAAAAATGGCCACAAAAACCCCCAAAATGGCCCCAAAAAGGCCCCAAAAACACCAAAATGGGAATTTTTTGGGTGATTTTTTAAAATTATTTTTTAATTTTTGTGGATTTTGGGGATTCCCCCAATTTTGAGGCAATTTGTGGTGATTTTGGGATTCCCAAACCCCCCAAAAAAATGAAATTTTAAGGTGATTTTGAGGCGATTTTTGGCCGTTTTTGGGCCGAATTTCACCGGATTTTTTTGGGGATTTTTAGGGAATTTTGGGGAATTTTGGATTTCGGGATTTTGGGGTGAATTTTTGGGATTTTGGGTCGCAGGGGGGACGAGGAGACGCCGTACCCCACCCGGCACTCGGAGCCGTACCCGCTCAGCAAAGCTCAGGCCGAGCGCCTCGTCCTGGAGGCCAACGGGAAACCCGTGAGGAAAAGCCGAAATTCGGGAATTTTGGGGAAAAAATTGGGAATTTGGGGGAAAAATCCGGGAATTCGGGGAAAAAATACGAAAATTTGGGGAAAAAATACAGGAATTTGGGGGAAAATATGAGAATTTGGGGGAAAAATCGGGGAATTTGGGGGAAAAATACGGGAATTTGGGGAAAAAATCTGGGAATTTGGGGAAAAAAATCCGGGAATTTGGGGGAAATATCCGAGAATTTTGGGGAAAAAAATCGGGAATTTGGGGGAAAAATATGGGAATTTGGGGGAAAAATCCGGGAATTTGGGGAAAAAATCGGGAATTTGGGGGAAAAATACGGGAATTTGGGGGAAAAATACGGGAATTTGGGAAATGGAAAATCTGTGAGGAAAAGCCGAAATTCGGGAATTTGGGGAAAAATTGGGAATTTGGGGAAAAAATAGGGGAATTTGGGGAAAAAATATGAGAATTTGGGGGAAAAATCTGGAAATTTGGGGGAAAAATACGGGAATTTGGGGAAAAATACGGGAATTTGGGAAAAATCCAGGAATTCAGAGCAGAGATCCGGGAATTTGGGGAAAAAAAAGGAAAATTTGGGGAAAAAACACGAGAATTTGGGGAAAAAAATCAGAAAATTTGGGGAAAAAACTCGGGAGGTGGGGAAAAAATCTGGGAATTTTGGATGTAAATGGAAAATCCGTGAAGAAAAGCCAAAATTCGGGAATTCCGGGCAAAAAAATCGGGAATTTGGGGAAAAAATATGGGAATTTGGGGAAAAACACGGGAATTTGGGGAAAAAATATGGGAATTTGGGGGAAAAATACGGGAATTTGGGGGAAAAATACGGGAATTTGGGGGGAAATCTGGGAATTTGGGATGGAAATGGAAAATCTGTAAGGGAAAGCCAAAATTTGGGAATTCCGGGCAAAAATCCGGGAATTTGGGGCAAAAATCCGGGAATTTGGGGAAAAAATAGGAGAATTTGGGGAAAAAACCTGGGAGGTGGGGAAAAAATCCAGGAATTTGGGATGGAAATGGCAAATCTGTGATGAAAAGCCAAAAATCCGGGAATTTTGGGGGGAAAATAGGGAATTTTGGGCAAAAATCTATGAATTCAGGGAAAAAATCTGGGAATTTGGGGCAAAATCCGGGAATTCGGGGGAAAAAATTGGGAGTTTGGGTTCAAAATTCAGGAATTTGGGATTTGGGACCCTAAAATACGGGAATTTCAGGAAAAACTGGGAATTTGGGGCAAAAATTTGGGAATTTTGGGACAATTTAGGGTAAAATTCTGGGGGTATTTGGGGGAAATTGGGGGTTTTGGGGATTTTTTTTTTTTGGTGGAATTTTTGGGATTTTTGGGTGGAATTTGGGGGATTTTGAGTGGAATTTTGGGGGATTTTTGAGTAGAATTAATGGGATTTTGGGTGGATTTTTTTGGGATTTCGGGTGGTTTTTTTTGGGATTTTCAGCTGGAATTTTGGGATTTCGGGTGGAATTTTTGGGTGGAATTTTTTGGGATTTTGGGTGGATTTTTTTGGGATTTCAGCTGGAATTTTTTGGGATTTCGGGTGGAATTTTTGGGTGGAATTTTCGGGATTTTGGGTGTAATTTTTGGGGTTCCAGGTGGAATTTTTGGGTGGAATTTTCAGGATTTTGGGTGTAATTTTTGGGGTTCCAGGTGGTAGGCGGGGCCCGGCTGGTGACCCTCGCCCTGCGCCCCACCGGCATTTTCGGGGATTTTTGGCTGGAATCTTTGGGATTTCGGGTGGAATTTTTGGGTGGAATTTTTGGGATTTCGGGTGGAATTTTTGGGTGGAATTGTTGGGATTTTGGGTGTAATTTTTGGGTGGATTTTTTGGGGATTTTCGGCTGGATTTTTTTGGGATTTTGGGTGGAATTTTTGGGATTTCGGGTGGATTTTTTGGGATTTTCAGCTGGAATTTTTTGGGATTTTGTGTGGACTTAATAAGATTTTTGGGTGGAATTTTTGGGATTTCAGCTGGAATTTTTGGCTGGAATCTTTGGGATTTTGGCTGGAATTTTTGGGATTTCGGGTGGAATTTTTTTGCTGTAATTTTTTGGGGATTTAATCTGGAATTTTTGGGGTTGCAGGTGGCGGGCGGGGCCCGGCTGGTGACGCTCGCCCTGCGCCCCACCGGCATTTTTGGGGGATTTTTGGGTGGAATTTTTGGGATTTTGGGTGTAAATAATGGGATTTTGGGTGGATTTTTTTGGGATTTCGGCTGGAATTTTCGGGATTTCATCTGGAATTTTTGGGGTTGCAGGTGGCGGGCGGGGCCCGGCTGGTGACCCTGGCCCTGCGCCCCACCGGCATTTTCGGGGATTTTTGGGTGGAATTTTTGGGTGGAATTAATGGGATTTCGGGTGGATTTTTTGGGGATTTTGGGTGGAATTTTTGGGTGTAATTTTCGGGATTTTGGGTGTAATTTTTGGGGTTGCAGGTGGCGGGCGGGGCCCGGCTGGTGACCCTGGCCCTGCGCCCCACCGGCATTTTTGGGGATTTTTGGCTGGAATTTTTGGGGGATTTCGGCTGGAATCTTTGGGATTTCAGGTGGAATTTTTTGCTGGAATTTTTTGGGATTTCAGGTGTAATTTTTGGGGTTTCAGGTGGCGGGCGGGGCCCGGCTGGTGACCCTGGCCCTGCGCCCCACCGGCATTTTCGGGGAGCGGCACCCGCTGCTGGAGCTCTTCTACCGGCGGGGGAGGGGCCTGGGGGGGAGGGTGCCCCGGACCCTCCCCCACAACGCCGAACACGCCCGCGTCTACGCAGGTGAGGGGGCACCCCAAAAACTCACCTGGGCACCCCAAAAATGCACCCAAAACTCACCTGGGAACCCCAAAATGTACCTGGGGACACACAAAATGCACCTGGGCACCCCAAAATACACCTGGGGACACACAAAATACACCCAAAACTCACCTGGGAACCCCAAAAATGTACCCAAAAATGCACCTGGGCACCCCCAAAATGTACCTGGGGACACCCAAAATGCACCTGGGCACCCCAAAATGTACCCGGGGACACCCAAAATGCAAATGGGCACCCCAAACTCACCTGGGCACCCCCAAAACACACCCCATAAAATCCCAAAAAAAAAAAAAAAAAACAAAAATCCCCAAATTTTCCTAAATTTCCCCAAATTTCTCCCAAATTCCTGGCAGGAAACGTGGCCTGGATGCACCTCCTGGCCACTCTATTAATCCCCCCATAAAATCCCTGAATTTCACTTAAATTTCACCCAAATTTTGCCAAAAAATGCCTATAAAACCCCCAAAAATCCCCAAATTTTCCCAAATTTCCCCAAATTTCCCCCAAACTCTCTGCAGGAAACGTGGCCTGGATGCACCTCCTGGCCACTGTAAATCCCCCCGTAAAATCCCTGAATTTGACTCAAATTTCACCAAAATTTTGCCCAAAAATCACCAAAAATCACCAAAAATCCCCAAATTTTCCCAAATTTTCCCCAAATTCCTGGCAGGAAACGTGGCCTGGATGCACCTCCTGGCCACTGTAAATCCCCCCATAAAATCCCTGAATTTCACTCAAATTTCACCCAAATTTCGCCAAAAAATCCCCATAAAATCCTAAAAAATCCCCATGAAATCCAAAAAAAACCAAAAAATCCCCAAATTTTCCCAAAAACCCCCAAATTTTCCCCAAATTCCCCACAGGAAACGTGGCCTGGATGCACCTCCTGGCCACTGTAAATCCCCCCATAAAATCCCTGAATTTCACTCAAATTTCACCATAAAATACCCATAAAATCCCAAAAAATCCCCATAAAATCAAAAAAAAACCCCAAAAATCCCCAATTTTCCCAAAAATCCCCAAATTTCCCCCAAACTCTCTGCAGGAAACGTGGCCTGGATGCACCTCCTGACAACAGTAAATCCTCCCAATAAAAACCCTGAATTTCACTCAAATTTCACCAAAAAATCACCAAAAATACCCCAAAATCCCCAAATTTTCCCAAAAATCCCCAAATTTTTTCAAAAATCCCCAAATTTTCCCCAAACTCTCTTCAGGAAACGTTGTTTAAATGGACCTCCTGGCCACTATAAATTTCCCCATAAAATCCCTGAATTTCACTCAAATTTCACCCAAATTTCACCAAAAAAATCCCCAAAAATTCCCCATAAAATCCTAAAAGTCACCAAAAATCCCCAAATTTTCCCAAAAACCCCTAAATTTCCCCCAAACTCTGCAGGAAACGTGGCCTGGATGCACCTGCTGGCCGCCCGCGCCGCCCGCGCCCGCCCGGCCTCGGTGGGCGGCGAATTTTTCTTCTGCTACGACGCGTCTCCGTGGGCGCCCTACGAGGAGTTCAACCTCCTCCTGCTGGGCCCCGCCGGCATCTCGGGGGGTCCCCGGGTGCCCCCCAAACTCTCGGCGCTGCTGGCCTGGTTCAACGGGGTCCTCAGGGCCGTTTTGGGGCGTTTCGGGGTGTTTTTCGCGCCGCTGCTGAACCCCTACACGTGGGCGGTGGCGTCCACCCCGTTCAGCGTCCGCACGGCCAAGGCCGAGAGGGAGTTGGGCTACCGGCCGCTCTTCTCCTGGGAGGAGGCGCGGGAGAGGACGGCGGGGTGGCTGAGGCAGCTGGATGGGGCGTGAAGGGGTTAAAAACGGGAGGAAACGGGGTGAAAATGGGAAAAATGGGGAAAAAATGCGGGAAAATGGTGAAAAAATGGGAAAAAATAGTGAGGAAATGGGGAAGAAATGGTTAAAAACAGAAGTTAGAGGAGGAAATTATCGTGGTTTGGGTCTGGACATGGAGGAGTTAAAAATTGGAAGAAATGGTGCAAAAATGGCGAAAATTGGAAAAAATGGGGAAAAATGGCAAAAAAAGGGAAAAAAATCCAGAAAAACAGCGGGGAAATGGGGAAGAAAGGGTTAAAAATGGTGGTTGGAGGAGGAAATGGATCCTCGAGTGGGTGTGGACATGGAGGGGTTAAAAATGGGGGGAAATGGGGTGAAAATGGGAAAAAACGGTAAAAAAATGCAGGAAAATGGTGAAAAAATGGGGGGAAATGGTGAAAAAACGGGCGGAAACGGTGAAAAAACGGGGAGAAAGGGTTAAAAATGGCGGTTGGAGGAGGAAATGGATCCTGGAGTGGGTCTGGACATGGAGGGGTTAAAAACGGGAGGAAATTGGGTGAAAATGGGAAAAAATGGTCAAAAATGCAGAAAAATGGTGAAAAAATGGGGGGAAATGGTGAAAAAATGGGGGAGAAAGGGTTAAAAACGGCAGTTGGAGGAGGAAATGGATACTGGAGTGGGTGTGGACATGAAGGGGTTAAAAACGGGAGGAAATGGGGTGAAAATGGGAAAAAAATGGTAAAAAATGGAGAAAATTGGTGAAAAATGGGAAAAATGGTGGGGAAATGGGGAAGAAAGGGTTAAAAATGGGGACGAAAGGGTTAAAAATGGCGGTTGGAGGAGGAAATGGATCCTGGAGTGGGTCTGGACATGAAGGGGTTAAAAACGGGAGGAAATGGGGTGAAAATGGGAAAAAATGGTGAAAAATGTGGAAAAATGGTGAAAAAACGGGGGAAATGGTGAAAAAAATGGGGGAGAAAGGGTTAAAAACGGCAGTTGGAGGAGGAAATGGATACTGGAGTGGGTGTGGACATGGAGGGGTTAAAAATTGGAAGAAATGGTGCAAAAATGGGAAAAATGGGAAAAAATGGCAAAAATTGGAAAAAATTGGTGAAAAAATGGGAAAAAATGGTGGGGAAATGGGGAAGAAAGGGTTAAAAATGGGGGAGAAAAGGTTAAAAATGGTGGTTGGAGGAGGAATTGGTCGTGGGGTGGGTCTGGACATGGAGGGGTTAAAAATGGGAGGAAACGGGGTAAAAATGAGGAAAAAATGGGAAAAATGGAAAAAAAAGGGGAAAAAAGGAAAAAATTTTAAAAAACAGGGGAAAATGGCAGGGAAATGGGGAAGAAATGGTTAAAAACAGGAGTTAGAGGAGGAAATGGTCGTGGTTTGGGTCTGGACATGGAGGGGTTAAAAATGGGAGGAAACGGAAAAAAAGGCAAAATTTGGAGAAAATTGGTGGAAAAATGGGAAAAAATTGTGGGGAAATGGGGAAGAAAGGGTTAAAAATGGCGGCTGGAGGAGGAAATGGTCATGGGGTGGGTCTGGACATGGAGGGGTTAAAAACGGGAGGAAATGGTGGGAAAATGTGAAAAAATGGTGGGAAAAAAAGGGAAAACGGTGAAAAAATGGGAAAAATGCATTAAAAAATGAGAAAAACAGGAAAATGCGGCCGGGATTTGGGTCTGATCCTGATCCTGAGGGAAATTCAGGCCGGGATTTGCTCCTGATCCCAATCCAGGCCAGGATTTGGGTCTGATCCCACTCCAGGCCAGAATCCGGGACAGGATTTGCTCCTGCTCCCGATCCTGAGGGAAATCCAGGCCGGGATTTGGGTCTGATCCCGATCCTGAGAAAAATCCAGGCCGGGATTTGCTCCTGATCCCGATCCAGGCCAGGATTTGCTTCTGATCCCGATCCCGAGGGAAATCCAGGCCGGGATTTGGGTCTGATCCCGATCCCAAGGGAAATCCAGGCCGGGATTTGGGTCTGATCCTGATCCCAAATGAAATCCAGGCCGGGATTTGGTCCTTATCCGGATCCTGAGGGAAATCCAGGCTGGGATTTGCTCCTGATCCCAATCCAGGCCAGGATTTGGGTCTGATCCCACTCCAGGCCAGAATCCAGGCCGGGATTTGCTCCCGATCCTGATCCCAAATGAAATCCAGGCCGGGATTTGCTCCTGATCCCGATCCTGAGGGAAATCCAGGCCGGGATTCGGGTCTGATCCCGATCCCAAGAAAAATCCAGGCCGGGACTTTCTCCTGATCCCAATCCAGGCCAGGATTTGGGTCTGATCCCGATCCCAAGGGAAATCCAGGCCGGGATTTGGGTCTGATCCTGAGAGAAATCCAGGCCAGGATTTGCTCCTGATCCAGGCTGGGATTTTCTCCTGATCCCGATCCTGAGGGAAATCCAGGCCAGGATTTGGGTCTGATATCACTCCAGGCCAGACTCCAGGCCGGGATTTGGGCCTGATCCTGATCCTGAGGGAAATCCAGGCCGGGATTTGGGTCTGATCCCACTCCAGGCCAGACTCCAGGCCGGGATTTGGGCCTGATCCTGATCCCGAGGGAAATCCAGGCCGGGATTTGGTTTTGATCCCACTCCAGACCAGAATCCAGTCCGAGATTTGGGTCTGATCCAGGCCGGGATTTGCTCCTGATCCCACTCCAGGCCAGGTTTTTCCCCAATCCCAAAGAAATTCCGGGATTCTCCCCCAAAATCTCCCCCGTAAATCCACTCCGGGTTTTCCCCATTCCCGATCCCATTCCCCGCCTCCCTCCGGATCCACTCCGGGTTTTCCCTCCGCCCCCACTTTGATTTTTTGGGTGAAATTCTGAATAAAACGGGAAAAAAACCGGGATTTTTCTGGGAATTTCGGGAATTCCCCCAAAATTCGGGATTTTCTTTCCATTCTGGGGATTTCCTGGGAATTTTGGGGCTTTTTGGGGCATTTTTGGGGGATTTTTGGGTGAATTTGGGGCCATTTTTGGGGTCCAATTTGGGGGAATTTCGGGGCCATTTTTTGAGTTTCTTTTTTTTGGAATTTTGGATCCAATATTTTGGGAATTTCAGGTTGAACTTTTGGGACCTTTTTTGCCCTTTCTTTTGGGAATTTTTGGGTCCATTTTTAGGGAATTTTAGGTGGAAATTTGGGGGAAATTTTTGCCCTTTTTTTGGGAATTTTGAGGCCCTTTTCTGGGAACTTTTTGCCCTTTTTATGGGGAATTTTGGCTCCATTTTTTGGCAATTTTTGCCTTTTTCTGGGGAACTTTGGCTCTGGGTTTTTTTGGGAATTTTGGCTCCATTTTTTGCCAACTTTTTGCCTTTTTTGGGGAGAATTTTGGCTCAGTTTTTTGGGGAATTTTGGCTCCTTTTTTTGCCAACTTTTTGCCTTTTTTTGGGGAATTTTAGCTCAGGTTTTTGGGGTAATTTTGGCTCCATTTTTTGGCAATTTTTGCCTTATTTTTGGAGAATTTTGGCTCCTTTTTTCGCAAAATTTTTGCCTTTTTTGGGGGGAATTTTGGCTCAATTTTTTGGCAATTTTTGCCTTTTTCTGGGGAATTTTGGCCCCGTTTTGAGAGGATTTTTTCACCTTAATTTGAGAATTCTCCTCCCCCCCCCCAATCCGGGTGGGGGAGGGGCCGGGGCGGGGGGTGGGGGAGGGGCGGCTCCCAAATTTGGGGGGGCGCAGCTGCCGCCCCTCCCCCACCCCGGGGGTTATTTTTGGGTCCTTTTCCCGCCGGGGCCTTTTTAGGGTAAAACCGGGACCGCTCCGCCCCTCCCCCACCCCCCAGGCCCCTCCCCCACCCTCCCGAAATGACCCCAAAAAATATCCCCGCCCAGGCCCCTCCCCCACCCCAAAATCCCCCCGAAAAATCGCCAAAAATCTGAAAAAAAATCCGCAAAAATCTTAAAAAACAATCCCAAAAAATTCACCCAGAATTACCCAAAATTTCCCTAAAATTGCCCCAAAATTCTCCTAAAAATTCCCTCAATGTCTGCACCAAAAAGCCCCCAAAAATCCCCAAAATTCTCAAAAAAACCCCCAAAAAATTCTCCCAAAAATCCCTAGAAATTCCTCCCAAAAAAATCCCCCAAAAAACCCCCAAAAAACCCCAAAATTCCCCCAAAAAATCCCCAAAATTCCAAAAAAAATCTCCAAAATTCCCAAAAAAATCCCCAAAAATTCCCCCCAAAATCCCCGAAAATTCTCCAAAAAATCCTCAAAAATGCCCCCCAAAACCCCCAAAAATTCTCCAAAAAATCCCAAAAAATTTCCCCAAAAGTCCTTCCCGCCCCTCCCCCACCCGGGGTGACCCCGAGGGGAGGACACGACCTTTGACCCCGGAGGGATTTTTGGGGTCATTTTGGGGCGATTTTGGGGCATTTTTGGGGGAATTTTTGGGGCATTTCAGGGATTTTTTGGGGGGAATTTTGGGATTCTTTTGGGGTCGTTTCAGGGAATTTTTTGGGATTTTTTTCCCAATTTTTTCCTCATTTCCCCCAAATTTCCCCAAATTTTCTCCCAATTTTTTCCCAATTTTCTCCCAATTATTTCCCCAAATTTCCCCCCATATTTTCTCAATTCTTTTACCAAATTTTCCCAATTTCCCCCCAATTTTTTCCCTATTTCCCCCCATTTTTCTCAATTTTTCCCCCCATTTTCCTCAGACTTTTCCCAATTTTTCCCCAATTTTTCCCCAAAATTTTCCCCAATTTTTCCTCAATTTTCTCCCATTTCCCCCATTATTTTCCATAATTTTCCCCAATTTTTTTTCCCAATTTTCCCCGTTTTCCCCCAATTTCCCCCAATTTTCCCCAATTATTTCCCTCAATTTTCCCCCAATTTTCCCCCAAAATTTCCCCCAATTTCCCCCCAATTATTTCCCCAATTTTCCCCAATTTTTCCCCAATTTTCCCCCAATTTTTCCCCATTTCCCCCCCAATTTTCCTCCAATTATTTCCCAATTTTCCCCAATTTCTCCCCAATTTTCCCCAATTCTTTTTCCAATTTTCCCCAATTTTCCCCCAATTT